CTCTCAACATGGTTAAGCCTATTATCCTCTAGCGACTGGCGTCGAATAAAACTGTTTGACGCCCCACAGTCAACGAGGACGCAAATTGACATTCCACTTGTCACTTCGATCTTCAAAGTGATGTGGGACTCCTCATCACTAGGGGCAGTAACACACAGAGACTGCGTGTTGGGAGCAATCTTCGCCAAGAGTCCTGCAAATTCTCTTGAAGTTGCTAAATCAGCAGGGTGCTCCGCCCCTACTGACCCTGACCGTTTTTTTGACGGTCCGACTTGCTGTCGCGGCTTGGCGACATGGTTGGACCCACGCCTCGGACCCTTCCTTGGCCAACAGCGGTCATCACTTCCTGTTTTCGGACGTGTCGCGGTGCTCGGGACACTACACTCATGAGCGTTGTGTCCAATCTTCTGACAGCGGTGGCATCTTGCCGTTCGCTTGTGACTCAGAGAGCGAAAGTTCTCGCTCTCGATGTAACAGAGGTCCATTGGTTTGGGACCTCCTGTTTCCTGTCGCCTCGTCGGACGATAGTTGGACGAGTTAGCCTGAGACTGTCTCAGGCTGAAGTCTTCTTGTTCCGCATACGCTATCGCCTTTTCCAGCGTATGGAAGTCCTCTCGGAACATGGAGGTCTTCACCGGCCCGTCCACAAGGCCGTAGATGAACACGTTGATGTGTGTGTACTCATCGACACGGTTTTCCGTGACTCTACTCGCAAGGTAGTGTAGGTGTTGTGCGTAAGCATGCACATCACGCTTACCTTGCTTGAGCCTCAATAGTGCAGAGCGTGCTCTGTACTCGGCTCTTGGCGGATAAAACGTCTCTTTAAGCCGAGACTTCAAGATCTCTAAGGACTTAAACACGTTTGGGTCGTGAAGCTTGAGCCCTAAGGCCCAAGCCTTTGCTCGTCCTGTCAAATTTGACAGGGAGAAGGTGACTTGCATCTCGTCACCCTCGACGTGACGGGCCCTGATGGCGTCGTCTAACTCGACGAGCCGTCTCAAAAGGGTATCTTTATCGGTTCTATTGTACCTTGAGATGTCTATCTGTAAGGTTTCGGGTCGACGAATGTGCGTCGGCCCGCCCATCGACTGATGAGAGCCTTGCTGCTGTTGCAAGGCTATCTTCTGTCTTTCGACGGCATGTTCCTCTTATAGGAACTTGTTAATAGTAGCATGTTGCTGGTCTCTGCTTAGAGACTCCAACATGCCACTGATGGTGGGATCGCCCATGAGCACACTCATGCGGCCGACTATCTCCCATTCTGAGTCACTCAGATGGGAGTAGCCTTCACATGTGACGTGAAAGCTGTCGTCTTCTACGTCAAACATGTTTATGTCGGACGGACACTAAGTAGTCGTTGAAAGGACTACGAAGTGCTACCAGGTGTATCGGGGCACCCTTTGTTTGGGGTTCCTCGAAACTTAACGTACACTAGTACGTGCAGAGGAAGCTAATCTACTCAACGACTAAGCTGAGTAAAGGGTAAAAAGAGAACTGGATTTAATATAGTTAAGCTATCAATATAACTTCAGTCTTTATCTAACTATATTAATCTACATTGTCGTATGATGACAACCTGCTCACCACTCATTGTGCGCGTCTAGCAGCGATTGGTGGTAATCTATGATTGATATGTCTTTAATCAACCAACATTTGAGCAGCGCATGAACAGTATCCTACAAGGGGATAATTTTCCTTCAATATTATCCATCTCGGATGATATTGGTAGGGGATTGTCACGCTAGACAATCTCCCTATTGACACCGTTTGGTGTCAATTTCATGTAACGGGCTACCCTGTTACACGGGATGGGCATTACTCGCTTCCAGCGAAATGTCAGTCTCGTTGCACGGCGAGCTGGTAGCAAAATAGACGGCCCCGTTTTAATTTTTGTCGTAAATGCTATACTTAAGATCATTGTATGGCACCGTTTTATGTCTCGTAGTATGGCAAGTCGGTGGTTCATTAGACGGGCTGGATATGGGTCTCGTGGAGCGACAAGTGAGTGACTTAACAGAAAGCACCGTTTTGAGAGTTGTCAATCGACAAGCCACTGGCTTTGTGTATAAGGTCATTGTAAGTCTTCTACTCGGACTTATACTGAGCCCAGTGATCTGTAAACGCGTGATGACGTCGACATCCACCCATTGTTGTGATTTACAGGAGTGAGGGGCTTATAATATGCTGAGCTCAGGCAGTAATCTGGAGAAGTCGGTTGCGAGAAAGTTGTTAGTCGAAATCCACAACTGGACCCGAAGAGGCGAACGGCGAAGGTATTTTATCCAACTATACTAGCTTGTTTTGTCTACCGAAATTGGAGATTGTTGTTTGTGCGTCCAAGGCTGTATTGCTACCGATTTTAAAGATCATTTATACCACACTGGTATCGTTCTCTTTGACGACATACTGAGCAATATGATGCATTTAGCACCATAATTATTTAGTTTTTAGGCACGAGAGCAGTCATCAAACCCCTAGACTAGGTGTATTGACTCCACAAGGGTCCTAAGTCATCTTTTTGGACCCGGATTTACTTCTTTCTAGAGTTTGGAATACCGGTCCAAACGATACTGACGGATCCAACCAATCTCCAGACCAAACGATCAAAATACGTTGTAGCGAACGTATTGCGCACAACAGCAACCCATAAAGATTTTAGTTAATACTAGTCACTTGTGACGTGTGCTATTAGAGACATTGTTTACACCAGTACTGGTTACACATCGCTATATGCCAACGGAATGCGCAATACTAGGCCGCCTTCTCGTTTTTTCGTAGTCCGAGTTTTAGTGGGGGGACCCCTTGCTACGCCCGAGGAAAATGCAGAAGAGACTAATTGTTTGTTAAATTGATGGCATAAATTTAATCTAGATATCCTGCCTTTTTTGCAGTGGTCACGACACAAGAGATTGTAAAGTCGGAATTATGACGAGGGTTACGGTGCTCAGAGCGATGACGATCCGTCGCTATTTGCAGCAACGACTTAAAACAAACCTCTCGGTGGTGTGGGGAAGTATTTTCGAAAGTGGTGGACCCCGATTTTGTTAAGTAAGTTGTTTTTTTGTTAATTCCGCAAATCGAAACCAATGGCCATCAGCAGCCGATGAATGTCATCCACCTTTCTTACCGTACTTTCTCTCCTTTGCGACGTGTCCTGTCCTGGTCAAGTAATGCTGTTCATACATCATCAGAAAAACTCTGCTATAGCATAGGCAGAACTAAAGGTGATTGCGTGGTGTAGGAGACGTAGCCTCATGGAGGTCAAGGCTCTTGTAAATCCAAACACCAGATCATTCTAGTCAGCCGCAATTAGCTTGACCACGTCGAGTATTGAACCCGCATTCAACCAATTGGTATCTTCCTTACCTAACAAATGAGCCAATTTGTTCCATCGGCCCTATTGTATAATGCAATCCTACATATCTGCGCCAACACAACGCCATATATGCAAAAAAAAACTTACACGCATAGCAGCAGCATCACTCTTCAACAAAGATCGTCCTATCGTATTTATGTGATCCACTTCGGATGCGCGACCACTCGATCATAGATACCGATGGCAAGTTGTCAATCGTGATCGCAGGTTGGGATTGCGGTCTCGAGTTGAGGATTCCGATCGCAAGTTGGGGATCACAATCGCATGTTGGGGGTTGTGATCCTAGGTCGAGATTGGGAGTCCGTTCCTGTCCTGTCTCAAGACAATTTGTGCCTAATAAAACTGTTTTAACCGCTATCTGGCCTTGTTCAACGTATTGGCTATCCTGCTCTCTGGGTTGGGTAGTATATTGTGAGTCACCCGTCCCATCTTGTGTCTGCCAACCATAGCCCTTTCGACTTAACTGAAGCCTGCAATCAGTGTAGCCCCAACTTCAACTCAACCACAAATTTCCTTGAGTTAGCTTTGCCACAGACACCTACTGGCCACCCAGTGAAGCATAACTACGAGGGGCCCATAGGTCGACCTCTACCAAGGCTGACATCCGCATCCTCACCAAGTCTTCCAATGAGTATGACCCGCCAGCCTACGACTACGCAAGGTGAGAGAAGGTCCATGCGCGACGTCGGGGCAACCCCCTCCGTAAGTCGGCAGTCCGGCACAGTGATTGGTTTGGGGTCACAACACATTGGATTAGGAACCCACTCTACCACGGTGGTGCGAATCGCAAGCTGGATGTTGAATGCGTTAGAGAAGATGAAAGCTTTAGAGGTGAGCGATTAAACTTCACACATAAGGTCCGTGAAGCTATATCAAGCACACAGGACAAGAATAAACAATGTGCATGCGAAATTGGTTTCAGAAATCATGAATGTTTTAGATTAGGATACAAAGTACTCTAAAGTTTTAGCACTCTACTTGAGCATGCAGTTTAGCCACCTTGTGGTACTGCTAAACTATTTCATCGATTTATAGGCTAGAAGGCAAAAGATTAAACGCGCGCTCTGATAAGACGCGGTCTATACAGCGCTTACACTAACGTAAGCACTTTGATGACATACTTCAGTGACATCATCTAATGACGTCAAGCAGTGACTTCATTCGTGTGCATGACACACACTTTATGGTAGGTATGCTATTGTTGTGCCTCGATCACATAACAGGGGTAAGTGAGTATCACACATGGGACCTATCTCAGACTGCTCCGTGTCGTTAGACGGAATTAAAGGAAGTGATCGAAGTTTTGCAAAATGCACAGTGAATATATTTAGGTCCTTAGTTCACAACCTCCTGTTGCTACTCTAAGCCTACTGAATTCTTTCTGACTCTACGTTAGTTATTGTCTAGTCGTACATTACTAATCGTCTCGTCGTACGTTTCTAACTCAGATAGTGTGTTTCTAACAAACACCGTAACTTACTAAGATGGGGGACGTCACTGTCTGGCAGGACAGTGCTGGTGAACCCCGGCACACCAGTACCCGAAGGTTTTAACTTTTTGTTGCAGTCACTGGATATCGAACCAGTGACCTCTCGCATGGTGCTGCCACACCAAACCACTTGAGCTACAGGTTTTTGTGCGAATACGCATGCCGAGGCGCATTTGTGACAACACTCCCACTCGCCTCGGCAGAAGTTAGCACCTTGACACCCAGCATGTTCCGTAGATGTTGAAACTGTACTGCAGGAATTGGCTTCGTCATCAGGTCGGCCTTTATGTCCTTGGTCGAGCAGTATTCCAACAACAATGTTCCTTCAGCCACTTTTTCGCGTACAAAGTGATACCGAATGTCAATGTGTTTTGTGCGCTTGTGAAATTCGGGATTTTTGGCCAAAGCGATGGAACCTTGATTGTCTTCGTAAATCTTGACAGCTTCATCGCTCCTCATCTCATCGAGCTCACATAATAGTGCCTTCAGCCAAATTGCTTCTTGTGCAGCTTCCGTCAAAGCCATGTACTCCGCTTCCGTAGATGAAAGAGCCACAGTGCTCTGTTTCTTACTTCTCCAGCTTACACACCCGTTGTTCAATATGAACATGTACCCGCTTGTGCTTCGTCGAGCTTCCACGTCTCCGGCCCAGTCTGCATCCGAGTAGCCGTGCAGTTTGTCATTGTTTGTTGCTTGATACTCGATTCCATATTCCCTTGTGCTTTGGATGTAACGTAACACCCGCTTAAGAGCTTGCCATTGGGTCGGACAAGGGTCTGCCGAGAACTGGCTAAGCACTCCCACTGCAGCTGCAAGGTCTGGGCGTGTACCCACCATAAGGTACATCAAGCAGCCGACTGCGTTGCGAAATGGCACATTTGCCATCGTTTCGTCATGCTTGCACCCATCCACGCACATTGACTTTGTCAGCTTGAGTCCTGGTTCTTGTGGAGTTCTGACAGGATTGCTGTTATCCATGCCAAATTTCTCAAGGATGTCCTTTGCAAATTTGGACTGACAAATCGAAATCGTACCAGCTGAACGATCTTGGTTAACTTCCACTCCTAGGAAGTACTTGAGGTCGCCAAGATCCGTCATGTCAAACCGCTCACTTAGCGCATTCTTTGTAGCTCTAATCAGTTCGGCGTTGTTGCTTACGAGGACCAAATCGTCAACGTACAGCGCTACAAAAATCAAGTCTTCTTGATCTCGCTTGAAATAAATGCAATGGTCGGTCTTGCACTTCTTAAAATCCAAGTCCAGCATAAACTTGTCAATGGTCTGGTTCCACATCCGTGGGGACTGCTTCAGACCATATAGAGAGCGCTTTAGCTGGCAAACAAAGTCCGGATGATCTTCATCAACGTATCCATCCGGCTGCGCCATGTAAATATCTTCCTCAAGATGTCCATTTAGAAATGCTGTCTTGACATCCGTCTGGTGAATCATGAACGAGTACTTCGCCGCTAAGCTGAGTAAAACTCGGATGGATGTGAACTTGGCCACAGGAGCGAAGGTCTCGTCATAGTCAATGCCATGTTTCTGTAAGAAACCTTTGGCTACCAAACGCGCTTTGAACCGCTCGATTCTTCCATCCTTGGTCTCCTTTACCCGAAATACCCATCGATTACCAATTGCATTGCGTCCCTGTGGAAGCGGCACGAGATTCCAGGTCTCATTTTGACGAAGGGAATTTATTTCAAAGTCACAAGCTTCTTTCCACTTGACTGCGTCGCTGGATTCCATTGCTGACTTGAATGTCCTTGGTAAATCTCCCACTGAATCCACGACGTAGGCAGTCTCAACAGAGTGACTGGTATCAGCAGTCGCAGACATCTCGGCCATGGTAAGGTATAGAGCTCGACGTTTCGCATCAGGAGCGTTGGCCAAGGCCTCGAGCGACTGTGTGCGTTGGTGTCTCTTAACGCCGGGTTCATCAACGCCATCCATTGTAGCCTCTTCAAAATTCATGTTGCTGGTGTCATCTGAGGAGTAGTCCTCCATAGGTACATCCTCATCTTCCATAAAAGCTTCTTCTTCGACGACGGCTCCATCTTGCACATAGTCGCGTCTCCCACTGTCGAAAACATTCTCCATGAACTGTGCGTCGCGACTGACCAGTACACGACGACTCTTGATCTCCTCGAAACGGTACGCTTTTTCATGGTCGGAGTATCCAATGAACCGAAACTGAATCGATCTTGCATCGAGCTTGGACCGCTTTGGCTTGGGCACATGCACGTATGCATGACAACCGAACACCTTCAGGTTTGCCAGTAGCGGTTTCTTACCACTCCATACTTCGTAGGGTGACTTGTCGTGACTTGTTGAACGACTTGGACAGCGAAGACGTAGGAAGTTCGCAGTCATGACTGCCTCACCCCAATACGACTTGGATAACTCAGCATGTTCCATCATGCAACGAGCACATTTCACTAATGTCTGTTTCATCCGCTCGGCGACACCGTTCAATTGAGGAGTGTAAGGCGGCGTGAATTTCTGCATGATACCATGGTCCGCACAGAACTTGGACATCGTTCTGGAAGTGTACTCACCACCATTATCGCTTCGAAGAGTCTTCACACGTTTGCCAGTTTGGGTTTCCGCCAACGCAACAAATTGAGCGAACTTGGTCGCTACTTCAGACTTGTTTTGAAGCAGATACACCACACAGTAGTGCGAGTATTCGTCAATGAAAGTCACGAAGTATCGTTTTCCACTGAAGGTAGGAGTTTTCATGGGGCCACACACATCGCTGTGAATGACCTCCAGCAACATACGTGCTCGGTCGGGTGACTTGGCATATAGCTCACACGTGTTTGTTTGCCAAGTGCGCATCCTTTACAAAACTCCCACTTCTGCACAGACTTCATGCCGATTCCACTGCCGTAATATTTCTTGACGATGGCATCTGGACCGCCATGTCCAATGTGGCCAAGTCGAAGATGCCAAATGTAGGAAGTGTTGTCTCCTTTGAAGTTTATTGGACTCGCCACATTGACCTGGTCAGGAAACTCCGGTGTCATACAAAGCTTGAACAATCCCTTTCCTTCTAGAGCGCCTAATTTCCACTTGAAACCCTTCGTTTCCGCGAAGCAACCATCGACTTCAAAGGTGACAGGCCCCACGTCCTTGATGAATCTTCCAACGGAAAATAAGTTTCGAGATAACTCTGGGTATGCCACACATTTGTGAGCACACCATTCTTGACCCCTTGACGAGTCCTCATTGGCATGACAATGTCACCCTTTTAATCGCTTGTACAATACCATCATCAGCAAGATGCACATCTACTGGAACAAAGTCCTTGTAGTTCCTCATAAATTTTTTCGAACTTGTCATGTGCTGCGTCGCTCCTGAATCGACCAGCCACATGTAACTCGACTTGGTCTTGCCACCACCAACCGAGAACAGGTAATCGCCAAGCTCCGGTTCTTGCGCGATGTTTGCACGCTGGTACCTGTGTCGATCAGCGTCTTCCTGGATGCGCGAGGGGCATTCGGCAATCCAATGTCCTTGCTTTCCACAATTGTGGCACGCACCGGTCTTCTTAGCCGGTCGAGCCTTGCGCTTGTTGTCTCTTGGCATGAATGCTTGAGCTTGACCGTGCGCGGCTCCTTTGATTCCACCACATTGCTCGTTGCGCTTCATTTCTTCATGCATTAGCCGAGATGTCACTAGTTCCCACGACAGCGAGTCGGCTCTCGACTCCAATGCTGTTACCAGGAACTGGTACGACTCGCTAAGGCTGGCCAGAAGCGTGATGACCAAATCGTCCTCGCTGACCGGAGCACCGACTATGTCCTGTTGCTCCGCCAGATTCTCGACTCTGTTGATGTGCCCCAGAACTTCATCACCTTCTTCCATCATTGTCGTGAAGAAACGGCGACGAAGGAAAAGCTTATTAGCCAAGACTTTTTTAACGTGGTGACCTTCTAGACGTGACCATGCATCATATTCGCGTCCTTCGCCGAGCAAACCAGTGGCAACTACGAATCCTCCATCGCATACAGATCATCGCTAGCGCCTTACGTGACTATGGCTTGAACGTCGATTGGTTTAAACTATTTGTGCAGTACTCAAGCTTGACCTCGCCGTTCATGACGTCCCACAGGTCTCGCTCCTCCCGCACCATTTGCATCTTAAACTTTCACACATGGAAGTTTGTTCCGGTGAACTTGTTGATTCGAGCGGCGGCGAACGGATATGAGTCAATGGCGAAGGCTTGATCGAGGTCTTTGTCAGAGTCTGCGAAGCTTGTGCTCATAACCTAAAAGGAAGTGATCGAAGTTTTGCAAAATGCACAGTGAATATATTTGGGTCCTTAGTTCACAACCTCCTGTTGCTACTCTAAGCCTACTGAATTCTTTCTGACTCTACGTTAGTAATCGTCTAGTCGTACATTACTAATCGTCTCGTCGTACGTTTCTAACTCAGATAGTGTGTTTCTAACAAACACCGTAACTTACTAAGATGGGGGACGTCACTGTCTGGCAGGACAGTGCTGGTGAACCCCGGCACACCAGTACCCGAAGGTTTTAACTTTTTGTTGCAGTCACTGGATATCGAACCAGTGACCTCTCGCATGGTGCTGCCACACCAAACCACTTGAGCTACAGGTTTTTGTGCGAATACGCATGCCGAGGCGCATTTCTGACAACAGGAATGTCTCGTGTTATGGTATGACCCTGTTACGGTATGACTAATGTGGCCGAGATATCATTTAGTGCGGCAAGAAAAGCGTTTTTGTACAACGTCTTCAGGTTGACCTTGATGTCGTTTTATCATCGAACTGTGAAGACCGCATTTATAAATTGTGTCTCCTTTTGTGTACCTCTGGTCCCAGTAACGCATTAACATGGCCAACGTCATGAGTGGCATCAACTGTGGCACCACAGATTGTTAACTGAGATGCCATACCGACCCTTCATCAAGGGTTAAGATTAGGTCATGGTTGTGCGCAGTTACGTATTGAGATTCTTCTTTTGTGACGACAGGAGAATGTTGATAGTGCCAGTCTTTCGACACCGAATTAGGTTCGCTTGTTTCGAGCTAACATTTGTTTACCTTTGGTCCTAAACTGCGCAGACGACAGTGGAGCTGCGCAAAAAAGCAGTACGATAACACCAGTGAGAAGTCAGCGGGCCAACAGCTTCAATCAACTTCACTTGCGCTTTGCCTGAAAGGGGCAGGTGATCTTCAAATTTGCCTGTCTTAAGCAGCCGATCATTACGAGAATCAAGGCTTTGTTGTGTGGATTACTACGATGATTTTGCCCTCGCAAAATTAGGAGACAACGAAAACTGTTGAGGTAGTCAACTTATTGTCAAGCAGTTATTGAGTTGTAGTAGAAAAAAGCGCTAGAAGGTGAAGTTAATAGAGCCTACTCATAGCTGTCGCAAGGTGACAAGCGTATTGCTATGGAAGCATTGTATATGAACTTAACATTGCTCACCTTTATAAAATTGAGACATACTTCCTCAATAACACATATCGCATTGACACCACAGTCAAGTTAATGCTACCATGCTGATCAAGCGAACTTTATCAGGTGACTCGCAATGTTCCGCACGCCTATTTCTACGTTGTCCAACGGCAACGAGGTCAAGAGCAATCACTTATCTGCTCACCTTCGACTGCCCGGTACAAATCAATTTACAATGTAAAAAACGCTGAGCCCGCATTTTTGAACCAACTTTATTGCACGGTTTATTGTTCCTACTTCATCAACTCTTGCTCCAACTCAAGATCTCGAACTGTCAAAGTATACGTGGGCTTCTTCTCGCCACCTTTTGTCACAAGCATCTCATCGTAACTGCTGCCTCCATGCGCTCTTGCTTCCGTGGACATTTTCAATATCATCTCATCGACGATAGCAGGGGTGGCTTCACAGGGAACGGCGTGTCCGCACACTTGTAGTATTGCATGTCCCTCGCGAAGCAATCCGGTTTTCTCTACTGGACCCGGGCTGGAGACAAACGCACGAATATAAACTGCCTCGTCCTTCCAATTGCCGAACAAAATACCCATTGGAGCTTTCGGAAAGACGATCTCTTTCATCGGGATCATCGACAGAACGTCGATAGTGTCGCCGCCCACCATTGGATCAATGTCACCGACATCGGCTACCTTTTGACCCTCGCCGTTTTTCGCATTCGTTCTAGACTCTTCGTCCTTTTGGCTATCGCAATTTGCTCGATTCGTGTTGCCTTTGCTGTCCAGAAGACGCCGATCCTGAAGCTTTTCTCGAATCACTGCAAAGTGCTCCCGGTTCGCAAACTTGGCTCGTATAGGTTCTTCCTGGCTCACAATGACGCGCAAGGCTTCCATAATGTCGGCATAGCTCTTGTACTCTGGACCGGTCAGCATGGTATCGTTTGCAAATAGCAATATATCGCCTTTCTGTACCAAGTGAGTCCGCTGTGCGAAGGAAGGGGTACGAGCAAAGGCAGACAGCACAACGTACTGTCTGCGGTTAAACGGCTGGTCGTTATCACACGTGAGAGAAGATATGCCCTCCATCTCGATCATAGGAGGCCAGTCACGCAGCCTAATGATTGCATCGGGACTCGTTGCAAATTGCACTGTCGCAGGACGCGATTTAATGTCGCGAAGAACGACCAGTACTTCGGAGAGCGTTTTACTGCGTAAATCGACATTGTTCACTTTCATGAGGAGCTGACCAACCCGAATCTTGCCACTTAGTTCCGCTGGACACTTTTTGCCATCGGCTCCTGCAGAAGTGAAGCCCACGACTATAGCACCGCATGGCGATAATGGACGAGCTCGTAGACGTAACCCAAAGGGCCCTACTTGTCGAAATGTAAATACACTGAATTCGGGATGTGGTTTCATCTGCCGGCACCGATTCTTAGCAACATCTTCGGGGAGCAAAGAGAAACGCATCGTAAACGGAACAGGAAGTGTTTCCAACAGCTCTTTCAGTTCCTCAACAGTCAATTCCTTGCAGCACATGCCATTGATTGCCAGTACGCTACTGCCCACAGGAACGCGCTTCACATCCTCGGTAAAAGGGATATCATGGCTTGTGTCGGATTCCTCCTTGTTGACGGACGACATTTCAACAATCAGTATGTTTGACACAACCACGTACCTGTTTAGCACACCCTTTGTAAAGCTGAAAGGCACAGTGTTCCTATCCGTAAAGGTACATTCGAGCTCTTCTGGCTGCAGTTCGACCTCCTTCGCACCACGCCATGGACTCGCACTTGGCAAATCGTCCATACAAATGTCCAACAACTGGAAGATGAATGGCCAGTACTCGTCCATTTGCTGGTTCAGTATACCCAGCAACTTTATCGTATGCTTCAACAGCTTTGTTTCCATTGTTTTGGCCAAATACTCACGAATTAATTCGGCAAAAAGAGACGTCAGCATATTGTAGACCGCACTGAACCAGCTCCCTTGTACGGTGAGCTTTAGTTCTTGTTGGATCTCAATTCGCATCGAGCTGAGCACCAGTATCGGTCTATACTCTCCGGTCTCCTCGTTCACAGCTTTCTTCTCGGCTTTAAAACCCAATGAAATCACACCGCCGCTTAAAGCAGCATCCGCTACGCCGCCACCGTGCAAATATGGAAAACACTTTTGTTGGAAAGTCCAGTCAAACCCTTTGAGGAGTGCAGTCAAGTGTGTTGCACGAACTGTGAAAAGTTCTTCGTCAACGACTGTCCCCATCCGCACTTTCGTCCACTCTTTTTTCACACGGAAATTCGACAAATCCAAATTTGAGATTGTATACGCAATGTCGTCTTCCACGCCTGATATCGTGTCAACCTTCAACGTCGGCAAAACTGACGTGAAAAAATCCAAACAATGATCTTTGATCTGATCCACAAATTCCTGCCGTTTCTCGCGATCCGTGGATATGGTGTTTTTCCACTCTGCCAGCTTGTCCAACTTAACTTCACCAATAGCCTTCGTCACAGTACTGCAGAACTCGTCAGGGTTTTCAACTGACTGAACCAAAGCTTTCGCCTTTTTCATCAATGTCTGTCCGTGTGATGTTTGTTGCATCTGCATCCAATACTTCTCGGATGCCTGGACCAGAACTTCGGCTCGAGACGACAATGTAGGCAACAGCTCCTCAGCTTTTTGCGCTAACACGATCGGGTCCAGCTCGGTTATTGAGTTCACACCAAACCTTTTGCTTGCCATTTGCTCAAGGCGAGCAAAAGCCTCCTGAGCCTTCATTACGTCACTTTCATGCTGCTGCATTGTCGGCCACACGTTTGCCTGAAATGTGCGGTACTCCAAAGATGTTTTCAGCACATCCAATCGAGGCTTTTCCGCGTTCATTTTTCTCTCCACAGCTTGCAAAATCTGAGACAAGACATGCCTGTTTTCCTCCTGTGATGGTGTCAGAGGCAGCGAATCACTTCTCTGCGAAACGAGTTTCTGTCGCGCGGACGTAAATTCTGAACTAGCCCTTTCACAAAGACTGAAACGAAGGTGCTTGATTTCCTCGCTATTCTTCAACTGGCTCAACACGTTTAGTGCCTTTGCAAAGATCGCGGCGGAGTCCTCGCCTCCAAGCAGCTCACTCTCCAGCACGGTCTTGGCATAAACTGCTATCTCCTTCAAATGCTCGAGCTCTTTCTCACTAGCATCCTTCAAGCGTCTTGTAGAGTCTGACAAGCTAGGGTCCAGCAACAACGACAATGACTTGACATACTGGTCACCGTAGGACGCGTTCGCGGTAATGCATGATATGGCCTCAGTGTTCTTCTCACAAAAACGCTGAAGCTGGCAATATGCCTCCTTCATTTTGAAGCTCATCATAACAGCGTCGTCACGTGTGATTCGTCCCTGAAACTCTTCGTAAATTCTCTCTGCAGACAAAGGTCTGGGCACTTTCGCGAGCAGCCGCAAGTCAATACACGAAACATCATTTGCTTGCGTGTAGCCAACACCTCCACAGTCAAGCTGTACCACGTACGAATCACTCGAGATCCTGTAGCCTACAATGCTTCCCAGACCCATAGTCGTCCGGACGCGCGTCCCCGTTGCCACACGAAGCTCTTCTTTCTATCAAACAGCAGAAAATTAGTCCGGAAGACAAGAAGGCAGAAAATACGAAGTTAAGTAAAGAAGTTTTGCATACACACCGACAGCAGCTCTGTCTGCTTGTCCGTCACACTGGGATCGTTGTCTTCTGTAGTGAGAGTCTCTCCGTCATAAAGTAGCACTTGATACTTTCTGTCTGCGTGGCTATGCCAAAGAAGAAAAGCAGCAATTGTGAGTGGGTGAGACCCAGCCAGGCCGTTCACTTGCTCAGAATCCGACGACAAAACCTACGTGTAATTGAGTACAACGCCTTCTTTCCGATCGTGCGGCAGCATTAGCACCCTCGTGTCGGTAGGAATCTCACCACACTGCAACATACGTAGCTCCGGCACCAGGCAGCCTCTCTGTCCAAAGTCAGCACGGCTCAGTATACGAAGAACAAGTGATGTAAATGACGACTGGAACAGTCCTTCCTACCTTCGCATACAGCACGGCACCACCCGCCAGCACCACCTCCACGTGTGTCTTGCTATCGCTGCGAACGCTTCCTGGACCAAATGGCGTCTTGACGCTGTCTCCAAACCGGTAGCGTAAGGCCATCGCAAAGAGCGGCGGCCTCTCGTTGGTCCCCATCATCTTGGGCCCTGGAAAGGTACTGACTTTCTTGACTGCGCTTTCTGATCAGCCAATCAGAACACGCAGCTTCATTATTTGTGTTTACGTCAGTCACAGCCTCGAGGTACATTCCCGCATGCTGATTGGCTACTCAGCTGCAACCTAGCGTTACTTCACCCTATCGCTCGAGAAACGCGTCAAGAGGGCCCTTTTTCTGGCTGCGTCTATCTCTGCCAGCACTTGCCACGACCTCACTGCTCGGCGTCTTGCTCAGCGTCAGTGCAAGGTGAAAGTCTGCGTGCTCATTGCGAGGCTCCGGTACAAAGCGCTTGCACAATTCGCAATAGTGAGTTCGGGATGAGGACGACAGTGACGACGCCGGAGGTTGTGCTGGAGCGCATGTTGAAGTCGGTTCCGATAGAAACGTCGCGTGGTCCACCCTATTTTCGGCGCTGCTCCGATCTGAGACTGGAGCAAAAAAGCCGGATATTTTCTGCCGCTTGCTCTGTCGCATTGAAGAGTCACTTTTTCGACCGCGTGTCGCAGCAAATGCCGTCACTTCATCCTTGACTCGTTGTGCGACGGTACTCACAGCCGACGACGTGTCGTCCGAATGTCGCGTGAAGAAAATCGATATGCTTGTCACCGCTTGGGAATCCAAGTCGACAAAGTTCTTGGCGTGCATGCTCAGAGCTGCTAATGGGAACATCCTGTCCAAGTGGAGCCGCACCACGTTCATCGCAGCTGCAAACAGCTCGTCTACCGTCGTGTCCTGAGCGATACCGAGCTTCCGTGTGCGCGGCTTCTCCTCGACTTTCGTGCACTGGAGCGTCAGCTGCGATGGAAAGCGCTTGTTCTCAAGGCGCTCGTCCTCGCAGCGCATGACCATCTCCTCGCACAGCAAACGCACCCAGTACTCGAGCTGTTCCAAACGCACTAGAGCCGATCCAGAGCGCTGGTCAAACTGCTTGACGCAGCTGAGCATTTTCACCTGGACCTTTTTCTCTTCTACTGGTTCACTGCCATCGTCGCCCTGACAGATCTGGTGGACGTACGCAGCAGTGTCTTGGCCCACGTGTTGCCTCAGCTCTGCCAGTCCGCAACGCTGAAGAAGGGCGTATGCCGTCAGCTTCTCCCGTTCTTGATCGGCAGGCTTTTGTTCGTGATCTAAAACGCTAGTTGCCTCGGGATCTAGACTTTCATATATACTCTCGAGCTGCTTCCCGAGCTTGCCGCCAAGTCCGCGGATCTTCCGCATTGGCAAACTCTTCATCAGATCGGCAACAAATCGAGGCGCTACGACGACTTGTCCATTAGGTTTGTTGAGTGGGGAAGCCAACTTGGCCAAGAGTTTGTTGCCTGCAATGCCTGTTGAACACGTGTAGCCAAGCTTGCGGTGGACGGCCTGGCGGATCTCTCGAGAGATCACTGCGCCCATGCATAGTAGCCGCTCGCAATCCGTCAGCGGAAACGCCCGCGCAGCGTCGTCCTCGTTTGCATCTCCCTCTTTCTTGCGGAACACAGTTGTGTCGTGGTTGACAGGGTCCTGACAGAAAGCTGACGAATACACCGTCTGATACCAGAAAAGATGTACCCCATTATCCATCCCATTGTAGTCTCCAACGCACTACAACACGAATCCCAACGTACCATTTGCGCGAGTCTCGCCTTGGCCATGTCCGTGACATCCATGAAAGCCTCATCGATACTTGCCTTCTCGACAACAGGTACTATGGAACCCAAGATGGCAAAGATCTCACGACTTGCGACACGGTATCTCCTTAAAATGGCCTTCTGATGTGTCCGATCGTACAGCTGTCCCGGCGTCCGGTTTTCACCCAGCGTGTCTACATGCGGCTACCAGCAGCGCTATCAGATCAACCGACTGAGTCGACAAACCGACCCAACGATAGCAATCCAGTACCGCAACATACCAAGTGGATCGGTGGACACTTCTTTTTTGCTGCATCAACAAAGTCTCCTATATGACATCAACAACGGAGCTGCACCACTGAGCTGCTTCCGAACTCATAGCACGTATCAGCAGTATAGCCGTAACCCACCTCGCTCCACACCAAACTTACGTGCGTCGTAATTGACAGCGAGCAGGCTGCCCCACTGCTGAACGGCAACGGGCTGGCCGTCTGGAATATTGAGTCGTCGCTGCTCTACCTGCGCGTAGAAGCAGTCGAGGTCCAGGTGGATGATCACCCGCGTCGAGGACGTCTCGCCCATGATTGCTCCGGAGACTTGCGCGACGTTTTCGTCACGCTCCACACCAAGTGTACACACACACAACAATCCGTTCAGAAACCGTTCAGAAACCATCGACGGAGACTTGATCCGATCAGTGAACAGATGTAGGCGAACGTCGCAGTTTACTGCTCGCTCGAAGGTGAAGCTGAGGGGACGGAACTGAAGCTGGAATCAGTGGGTGGAGTGAGCTCGGTCGCTCACTCCCCTTCTAATGGGTACAAGAGCTCTCTGCTCGTTTCCGACACTGTGTTGAGTGTCGTTCCGCTTATTCGTTCGGTGTGACCCCATTCGACCAACCAGCTCGCAGTGGAGACTGCTGCGTCGAGGAACTGCAGCCTGGATGCTTGTCAGGTCTCGTGGCAACCCCACTCAAGAGGACATCCAGAAAAGGTTCAGAAGCGTTCAGAAAGCGTCGACGAAGACTTGATCTGATCTGTGAGCAGATATATGAGTGCCTTGCTTCCTATGCTCGCTCGATGATAAAGATGGGGACGTCGAGTTGAAGCAACGAAGTGGCTTTGGCGACAATCTCTCTCTCTCTCTCTCTCTCTCTCTCATCAATTGTTGAATATTTCGATGGTCATCCACTCGGCTCTCCTCGTCTCCAACACGCGAATTCTCTCCAATCGTCATTCCTTCCTCATCACGTACTGCGGTGTTTGACTAAAGCTCCTGCTCGGGGGAAGCCGCCGACAGGTTGCGGAGCAGCAACTGGTTTTTCAGAGCTGGATAACTTCCCATCTACTCGTACTGTCTTGCTCAAGCCATTCCGTCTCTCAGTCCCAGGACGTGTGCACTGGCAGATCCTTGTGAATACTACGTTGCTGTACGAGGAATCAACCGTTTTTTCCCGTCAATTGGCTGGCTGGCTATCAAAACAGTCTCATGGTTGGTCGATCTCCCGCCGCCACTTTGTCGCGGTGTTTTTCCATTCGTTTCGACAAATTCACGAGAAATCGTTGACCAGTATCGATCGATCCATCGATCTCGTCTCTCCTGCTCCGCTATGCAGTGTAAAAAGGGCCAGATATAGGGAATCCTCCACCCGACCAGCAGCAAGGAGCTCCTGGTCGGACAAAGCTCTTTGTACTGCCAACTGAACTCGGTGCTCGCATCGCTTTGCAGGGTGTCCAGCCAACAGTCTCTCATCTCAACTCGTGAGTAACAAGCGCGGACGAAGACAAGCCACGACTCTGTCGATTCGAGTCCCAACCCCCGTGCGTCCACTCGATCAGCATCCGTCGCGCGGTCTCAGCGTAGCATCAGGGATCCAGACATAGACGCGTCCTAGCGACGTCGCAGGCGCAGTGTCCGCTGGAGCTCCTCGTCGCGTCCCTTCTGGTCTCGCTTGCTCTCGCATGGACGGGCGTCCGTCCGTCCGTCCCTGCTCCTACTTGCTTGTCCATGGACTCCTCCTTCCTCCTTGACTGCAAAACAAAAGCCACCGCCATCCCCGTCCCGCGCCTCTCTCCTACTTTGCAATCCACCAGCAACCGCGCGGGCCTTGGGCTCAGTTCACGTGGTCACCTCCTTGCCACGCACTCCATCATGGCACACAGTTGGACGATCTCATCGTCGCGCTTCCAGCTGCTGCTTCTGCCCTTGGTTGTCACTCACGCACTTGCCCAATCCAGCTCGACAGTCCCTTCCAGCCCTTCCTCGCCACCCTCCAGCCACACGCTGGCAGACAACGCGAGTGTCCTCGCCACCCTCCAGTCGCACCTCATCACGTGCACGTACTCGAAAGTCAAAGAGTGTATCAAAGACCCGGCAGTCCTGTCGCACCTCGGCTCGCTCGTGCGTGCGCCTGGCCATTGCGTGGCCTTCGATTCCGCCTACGTCGACGTCTCAACGCCGAGTGCTGCGGTTCCCAACCGGTACTACCCGACATCCGTCGAAGCCGCGTACGACGCTGGCTTTGCCAACCGGTTCTCCGAGTGGTCACCCGTCAACCGCGAGCACTTTCAAGTGGACTGTCCGCTGCTGTACCATGAGGTCATTGCCCAAGGCGACGACATGCTGTGCTGCACGGAGCAACAGTACACGGGGTTGTCTTCCCAAGTCCGGATGATCCCTGGCTTGTGCTCGGCTTGCAAGGAGAACCTGCGCAACATCTTCTGCCAGTTCACGTGCAGTCCAAACAACAGTCTCTTCCTCGACGTGAAGGAAGTGCGGATCATGGACGGCGACGATGACCATCGAGGAGCGGTCTTCCCGGCCGTCGAAGAAGCGACGTATTACGTCGGGAACGACTGGATCCGCGACGTGTACGACTTTTGCAAGGACGACAGCTCGTTCTCGCTCTTGTGCAACCCGAATCAGGACTGCACCGACGGCTTTGGGCTCATGGAGTACATGGGCAAATACGCCTTCAACAGCATTGGCTCTCCGCTTCAGATCAACGTGACGACGATGGACAAACAGACCGACTCGATGCAGAAGAAGAGCACGTTCTGTCACTGTGACAACGTGAACGCGACCGATTGCATCTTGCCCATGAACAACCGAATGACGTCGTGTGTCGGTGTCTGTGGCTCGCTGTGTGCAGTGGACTCGACGGATGACCGCACGTATACGGAGTCTTGCTTCGGAGCTGCTGGGACGCTGGCCACGTCTCCATCCGATAGCCAAAGTGGGGGCTCGGATGATGACGTGACGTGGGCGGAACTCAATGCGCATCTGGCTAGGACCCTTCCAGCGACCGACTGGCTGCCACTCAACTACTTCCTCGTGATTTGTGGTGTTGTGATTGCCTCGTTCCTCGCACTGGGGTTCGTTGTCGCCTTCTGTCGTGAACGGCGATTGCGTATCCCCAATCCACGCACTGCCACGCCTCGCGTTGGGCCGTACACACCGGAATCTCATGGTATGGCGTATGTCATGGAGACTGGCACCACACGTTTGAGCTACCTGGACGAGCTCCTGACCAACAAGTTACGCGCGTGGGCCATGTTTGTCTCGACAGGAAACAAGCCGAAGAAGATCATTGGTATCGTGCTAGGCATTGTTGCTGTCTGCGTCGCTGGACTGTACAACATTGAGATCGAAACGGACCCGATCAAGTTGTGGGTGTCCACTTCCAGTACTTCGTATCAGCAGCACAAGCACTATGGTAAGCTGTTCAACCCCTTCTATCGGTCGGAGCAGGTCATTATGGTGCCCAAGGATGGTGGTCATATCTATCGCTCTTCGATCTTGAAAGAAGCTATCCGTGTTCAAAACGTGGCAGCGGATGTGATGTATACTTCGGAAGATGGCGAGACCAGTATCGCACTTGAGGATATTTGCTGGAAAGCCACGGGCACAGGGTGCACTGTCAACTCGATCACGCAGTACTTCCAGAACAACATGGAGCACTTTGAGTTCTATGAGAAGTATGGCTTGGAGATGGAGCACTTTAGCAACTGCTTGTACTCTCCGACCACATCGGACGTGGCTCTTTGCACCAAGCTAATGAGCAGCTTGGATAAGGGGGATTCGGTTCCCGCAACAATGAGCGACTGTCCTTGCTTGTCGATTTTCGGTTCACCCATGAATCTGTACAGCACGTACCTTGGCGGATTCCCTGATGGAGCTGAAAGCAATTATACACTGTTTCTGGAATCCGTCGCGTTCGTCTCGTCGTACCTGAACTATAACTACGCTGATGAAAGCTTGAACAAGCCTGCAATCAATTGGGAACGTGAGTACATCAAGACAATGAAGCTTGAGGCCAAGGCGAACAAAGTATTCGATATCTACTTTTATGCTGAGATCTCGGTGCAAGATGAAGTGGACGCAGAATCGAGCAACGGCATGGGTCCCGTGGCATTGAGCTTCTGTCTCATGATCATTTACATCTCGCTAGGTATCAATCGCATTCGCTTCAGCCGCCAGTTCTTCATCTCATCGAAAATTGTGGCTGGCTTCTGTGGCGTGATGAGTATCGTGTGCGGCGTGGCAACAACGATAGGTATCTACGTGTGGTTTGGCGTCAAGCTTCAGCTTATTATTATGGAGGTGATTCCTTTCCTGTCGCTAGCTATTGGCGTGGACAATATTTTCCTGCTGATTCATGCCATGACCGAGAAAGAAGACCAGCTTCGACGTGATCAACCGAGTCTCTTCATTGGGCTCGAACACAACCCAAAGGCGGTTGAGGAACTCACTTCTGTACTGGTGTCCGAGAGTCTCGCGTACATTGGTCCTAGTATTTTCATGGCATCTGCTGCCGAATCTGTGGCGTTCGCATTCGGCTCAATCTCAGCAATGCCTGTCGTGTTGTGGTTTGCAGCAATGGCGAGCTGTGCCGTGGTGATTAATTTCTGTTTCCAGCTGACCTTGTTCTTGTCGATTCTCACGTTGGACAAGCGCCGCGAGCTGAGTGGAAAGTATGACATCATTTTCAGGCGCGCCTCGCAAGTGAAGTTTCAGGCACCCGCAGCTGGTCTACAGATTCGGCAAACGACGGGGCCGCTCGGGTCGTTGGAACCCAAGCCTTCTGCACCAGTAGACACCCGCCGTTCTGCAACGCCGGAGAAACGCACGCTGACCGATACTCTCGGGCATTGCGTTGACGTCTATGCGTCGATTTTGACGTACAAGATTGTAAAGCTGCTTATCTTGCTATCCTTCCTGGCATGGACGCTCTGGTCGATTTACTCGATGGAGTCGCTCGAACAGGGTCTACCACAGAAGGAGGCAATGCCGTCAGATTCCTACATGATTGAGTATTTCGATGCACTCGATACGTACCTGGAAACTGGTTTGCCTGTGTATTTCATTGTCGAAGCAGGCTATGGTCGTAACCCGGATAAATGGTCGCTCAACGATGAGAGTGTGGAGACAATGTTCTGCAAGTCGAAGGATATCTGTGGCACCTACTCGGTTCCGAACATCATGAACGCTCTGGCAAATCACGGCAATAAGACTATTACCCACATCAGTCCCGGCACGACATACTCTTGGATGGACGACTTCTGGGGCTTTGTAAATCCCGACAGCGAATGTTGCCGTGTGGACTCGACAGGCGCGTATGTTCCGATCGAAACTGGCAACGACACGTACACGACACTGCGTTCGGCTGATGCCACTTGTCTGGCTACGTCGGTGAGCATTCCTCCTGTGCCAGAGGCTCAGTATATGTCGCTCTTCAGTATGTTCGCAACAGCTAGTGCCGGCACATCGTGCTCTTACGGCGGCGGTTCCATTTACCGCGGCCAATTCAGCATTGACGACGAGCCCATTCCGACTGTGAAACTCTCGACACCAGCAGTGAAGCTCAACAGCAGTGGCTACGGGGACGAGATCACAGCGTGGTCGTACATGGTGATAGGAACGTCGAACCCGACGCAGCAGCACTACATCGACTCGTACAAGCAGAACCTGGCAGCTGCGAATTGGATGAGCGAGAAGACTGGTGTCGATGTCTGGGTGTACTCGCTCACGTACGTGTACTTCGAGCAGTACCTGACGGTGATTGACGATGCCTTCCGGCTTATCGGCCTAGCACTAGCAGCGATCTTTTTGATCACTGCCTTGTACTTAGGCAACTTGTTTTACTCGCTGGTGATCTCTCTGCTGGCCACGAATCTCGTGGTTCTTGTGCTGGGTCTGATGCAGCCTCTCGACATCAAACTCAACGGTCTGTCGATTGTGAACCTGATCATCGCAGCAGGTATTGCAGTAGAGTTCTGCGGCCATTATGTCCGATTCTTTGCCAAAGCAAAAGGCACAGGCGACGAACGTGCTCGTGACGCGCTTCGTCAGGTCTCGACATCAGTGCTTTTCGGTATCACCATCACCAAGGTCATCGGTTTGAGCGTATTGACTCTAGCCGATTCGCGCGTGTTCAAGAAGTACTACTTCCGCATGTACATGATCGTGGTGCTCTGTGGTGTCTTGAACGGCCTGCTCCTCCTGCCTGTGCTACTAAGCACCATCGTCGACGTGAAGAACTTCTTCTTGCACCGGGGGCCACAGAAGAGTGCGCTGAGATCAGCACCACCTATCACTCGCGTCGACTGATTCCGATGTCTCTGTTTTCGTCAGTTGGGTGCCCAGGTCGATCTCTGCATATGAGGGCACTCCAAGCAAGTGTATGTGAGCAAGTTAGAAGCAATTGAGAGTGACTACTTTGTGCAGTACCAGTCGTTAAGTCAATAGATGGTAACCTTCCTCCAGATCACCTCGATCAAGCAGCACGAACGGCATTCATCATGTGATCGAAACTGATAAACATGCCCGTACAGTCACACTCGCGAGTCTATTCCACCGTGGTGACAACAGCTAATTCAGGAAACTCGCATGCACGAGCGTCAAAGTCACCATCCAAGAAGGCAGCTGACAACTCACCGATCGCTTGGAGAGCACGAAAGTGGTCAATCTTGCCGATGGACTTCAGGAGCCGATTCAGAATCGGAGAGAATACGGAGATGTCCGAGAAATTATTGTGTCTTGTGTCTCGCAGCCATGTCAAGCGTGATAGGGTGTGCGTGCATCCACGTGCGTGACGCTCCGTGCTCTTGGCATTTGGACGCCAATGTAGAAAGTGCTCCGACATCAAATGAAGGGCAGGGACACGAGCACCCAAACCGTCGCGCACGGCATCATCAAGTGGCTCCATCCACGCGTCCAGCAGCACCATCTTTTTAAAGCGCTTGTCTTGATGTGCCACACTAAGGGCTGTTGCCGCCCCAAACGAGTGTCCAGCTACGCTCACTTCGTCTAGATTGCACTGATTAAAGACACTCGTTGGTGCTGTGCTTTGCGACACGATAGCGTCCAGCACGGACCGCACTTCACGCACACGCTGCTGCAGTTGTCCATTGCGAAAGCGAAAGCCTGCTTGATCGATGTCGTCTCGTACTTCCGCCGTGATCTGTTGGTAGTACTCGAAGCGGCCAGTCTCGGGGCTGCACACGCACGCGGACCCGTCGCAATGATTGGGTACCACGACCACGTAGCCATGACTCGCGAGCTCCTGGTTCACACACGAGTAGAGTTCCAGCGATCCTGCAAGTCCATGGCTGAAGATGACCACGGGCCAGCCAGCACTTGACAAAGTTCTTGAAGCGATCGGAGCATCTTGAAGTGCACCTAAGTGGGCGTTGCTCATGTTGTGGAAGAGCCACGCCGGCAGGTTTTGAGAGCTGCTGAGCCCCTTCATGATGTGGTGGCCATGATGTAAGTACGGCACAAAGCGCTTGGTAGCGACACCGTCTGGATGAATGGGACTCGCTGACTCGTCCAAGGCTGTGGAGGGATAGAAGACGCGGCACTCGATGCCGCCGAGACGAACAGCGCGACAGCCGATGGTCCTGTAGGGTCCGTGCAATTGGGACAAGTCTGGCCAGGGAAAGAGCACGGACACGATCCAGGCGAGCGCAAGTGCAAAGACAGTGAGTGTGATGACTGCCGAGTGCAGCGGTGACGAGAGAGACGGGGAGACGATTGGAGAGAGGACGTGGAGACTGAGAGACGCATAGAGAGGAGCGAGTTCACGTCGTGAAGAGTGCAGCGCCAGCAACGGAGCCACGAGGCACCAGCCAGCGATTAGAACGAAAGTGCTGGGCGAGAGGAAGAGCGCAAGAGCCATTTGTCCTGTGCATGCGCTGAGAAGGGCCCGCTCGATGACGTGACGACGCATTGGCGACGATTGCAACGGAGACGCGTCGATGGATGTATCGGGAAGTGGCGACGTTCGTTGAATGATGCGACCGAAATGACCCTACACTGTTCATAGTGGACTGAAAGTGGACCTTTTCTGGAGCGGACGTGGACATCGACACGTCAGTACGTGTGACGCGTTGTGCTCGGTGGGGGCGACGTCATCGATCAATGGAATGGCTCTCGTGACGTCGTCCTGTTTACTACTTAACGAAACGTCTGATATCAGATATGAGAGTCCCTGAGTGGACGTCGAGAACGCCCTTTAGTCTATTTATGAGCTTTCGACAAGTACCCCACGGTGAAGCTCTCTCGCACAAGTACTCAAAGCCAATCATGTCCGTCGATTAGTCGTCTGTTAATCTACTACGGTCGTCATGTCCCGCGTAACCTTCTCGAACAAGTACTCGTTGCGAAACATGTGTGTCACCACCTATCGACTACTTGCTCGAGAGAGAGAGAGAGCAAGCAAGTCCCAAACTGACGCGCACATGTCACGTTTGCGATTGGTCTCGTCGCGATTCGCCACGGTACGCTCGTCATTGCTGATTCGACGCCGTCACGCACCTACTGACTCAGCCGTTCCGTTTCGTCACGGCTTTGACCCAATTCAATGCGTGTGAAGAAACTGAACGTAAACCGACGCCAGAAACCAGGCGAAGACGACGCAGTGATTGGCGTTGGAGCCAGTGGAGAAGACGGCGAGCAGCTCAAGTGGGTGAGTCCTACTAAGTCGCTGCAGGGAGGAGTCGCGTCCAGCAGCAGCAGCACCAGTGGCGCCAGCAGCCCCACAGATGCTCAGCAACAGGATCTGAGCAAGCACTTGCTGTTGCCGCTCGAACCCGACAAAAACAGCTCGGAGCTCTTTGTGCATAAAGCTAGTGACGTTGCAGCAGTCGTGCCCACGTTAACAGCAGCAGTTGCAGAAGTGGGTGACGTTGGAATGGGCGAAGAGGAGGCAGTCGACAAGGCCGTGCGCAAGGACATGGTTGATGTGATCATCGAGACGCTACGAGCGATGAAGCCTCAAGCCCCCGAGAAAGTGCTCGCTGGACTGCCGAGACTGGCTCAGCACATGGAGAAGGCGCTGTTGAAGCTCGCCAAGAACGAAGTCGAGTACAGCGACCACAAGACGCTGCGGTCGCGCATTGCTCAGATCCAGGAAACCAATGCCAAGCGACTGCTGGCACAACAGCAACAACAGCAACGACAGCAGCAGACATCCGAGCAAAACAGCAGTGGCCACAATGCCGTGCCAGCACTCAAGCCATTGACGGAGGAGCAGGCTTGCATTGTGTTTCAGCATTTGCAGTCGTGGCGCCAGAACCTGGTCAACGTGCACGCGGTGGCACCATGGGATATCTTGCCCAACCCGACACTGGCCAAGGTGGCGCTCTACATGCCGTCGAGCGAGTCGGAACTTGCTGTGTGCGGAGTTGGCACCGATCGGATGACGCGATTCGGCTCCTCACTGATGCAGGAGCTACAGCGTCTTCGTGGTTCGAATGAACGAGTCGATAAGCTGGGCAAAGCTACGACCCCAAGCACTGGGAAGCGCAGCTCTCCTGAGTCGATGGCTGGTCATACCAGCAACAAAAAGCAGAAGGAGGGTGCTGGTGCACAGTTAGCGTCCGTGGCTTCCAGCGGGAGCAGCCTTTCGTATACAGTGCAGACGTCGGCGCCTCTATCTGCGGCTTCGCTTCCGACACTGCTGCCAATGGTGTCCATGCGACCCGGAGAACGAGGCACTTCTTACTGCAGCACGACAATTAGCAGTCCAAAGACGACGTCACCGTCCCATTGTCCATCAACAGCATCCTCCCGTGCGCAGACTTTGCAGCACCAAAGTTCAGCTTGTCCTGCTCTGGAGAACCACATGCATCTGCTGGTCCAAGGCGCCGGTCAATTGAGCAAACAGCAGCAGCACGTCAAGAGCCTCGAGACGTACGAGCAGGAGGTCCAGTCGCTCCGGTGGATGCTGCATCAGTCCCAGCAGGAAAAGGCACAACTCGAGACGGAAGTCCAGCGCCTACGGGCTGCACTGCTCGATACAAACAGCAGCAAGTGAGACGACGACGACGACGATGATCTCAACGCGATCGGTATTTAACTCTAAACGACGACCACACAGTAGGTCTCCGTTCCTTCCTCCTTCCCCCTTCTCTCTCTCGTGCTTTCGACCGCGTACCAGTCGAGCTCCCGACACATGCAGACGCTAGTAGAAGGCCAGACACTGCTCCACGACGGCCGCTACCGCTTCTTGCGACGCATCGGCAGCGGCACCTTTGCCGTCATCATGCGGTACAAAGTCCTCACTCGACGCTCGTCCACTCAGTCGGTCCTCCTCGTCCCATGTCCCCTCATCTCTCTCTCTCTCTCTGCTCTTTCGTTCCCAGCGCTTTGGACGTGCAGCACGAGCGCCACGTGGCTATCAAGTGCGTCCGCCAGCAAGAGCTCAACGCATTGGGCGAGCGGGAAGCGGCCATTCTGCGGCAGATCAACGACCAGGACGCGGACGGAGCTTGTGCCGGTACGTAGTACTCGGCCGTTGTGGCTGTTGGTTCGAAGAGAGAACGCTCGCTCGCTCGCTCATCATCTGTGTCGCCCTCTCCCTCTCATCTGCTCCTTGTGCTGCTGCGGTTGCTGCTTCTGCCTTCAGTGGTGCGTCTGCTGACCACGTTCGAGGAGCAAGGTCACTTTTGTCTCGTGCTGGAGCTCCTGGGGCCTCCTGTGCTCGAAGTGGGACGGTGGAGTCCGTGGCGTCACGCGCTCAGTGGAGCTCGAGCTGCTCCAAACCAGACACTGCAGCTCTTGAACCGCACGCGGCACTTGTCCGCTCCTGATGGACTCGTAGCAAGCACGCAGCAGCGGAAGCAGGACGTGGATGGACCTGACGTGGCTGGGTTGTTGGCACCACCTGTGTCGTTACTGGACATACGGCAGATGGCGGCGCATCTCTGCGGAGCACTCGCGTTTCTCCATGACCAGGGACTCATCCACGCAGACGTCAAGCCAGAGAACGTGGTGCAGTCAAGTCCAGAAGCTCCACTGAGTCCGTCGGCGTCAACGTCGTTGCCGTGCTCGTCACCAGTCAAGTTGGTGGACTTTGGCAACTACTTGGGTGCAAACGAGCTAGCGGCGTATGCTGACGCGGACGCTCGTGGCGGCTTTGACGTGCAGACCGTCACGTATCGTGCTCCAGAAGTGGCAGCAGGTCTCTTGCTCTGCTCGGCCATGGACATGTGGTCGCTCGGCTGCCTCCTCTTGGAATGCGTGTCAGGGAAACCGCTGTTCACACCGCCACCGCTCGAGACGTCGGTGCAAGAGCGAGCAGACGTCATCAAGGTTGAGAACGCCCATCTCTTGAAGCAGATCGAGCGCATCGTGACAAACGGAGTCCAGCTGGATGCTACGTGCGCCCCGTATCAGTCTTCTGCATGGTATAACGAAGAAGCCGCAGAGGAATGCCAAAGGGTTGGCCATGACAAGCAAGCGGAGACATTGCAAGCACGTCTACAGGCCGCCGCTCCCGGGAACCACCAGCTTCACGACTTTATTTGCAGTCTATTGGACGTCAACCCCGCCACGAGAGTCACTGCAAAGCAAGCACTCTTTCATCCCTTCCTGCAAGCCTTCTTCCCATTCGAAACCGTGTTTGCTCGATCGGATGCTCGTCCAGCTAGCTCAGAACGTGAGACCAGTCTTCCTGCTGCATCCGCATCAACGGGAGCTGGCACACAGCGTAAGGCATGGCGATCTCGATCACGCGAACTCGAGGAACAAAAGGCTTCTGACCGAGTGCGAAAGCGTCAAAGGTCAGCCAAAACGGTAACGTTAGCTCGCAGTAAGGACTTGCGTCAAGTGCTGAAGATGATACCGCGACACTGCTTGCCACTTCCGCCACGCTGACGTCCGGTGACAGCGCTGGCTGGATGTCGATATCGTCGTCTGCTGTTGCTCACCGCACAGCCACCTCATGGCTTGACAGTCCACGAGTCCGATTCGGAGGTGCCTGGGGCTTCTCGAGCGCGCTGGTCCCATGCGGCCTCGAAATGTCGTGCGCATACTGTCTTTGCCTCGACGCCTTCGCGAAGGGCGCGGAAGGCCGCTTCCTTGCAAATTGATGCAATGTCAGCACCCGTGAATGTGTGAGAGCTGTGATGAACAACATCGCGAGGTCGGTAGAGTTAGAGTCGAACGCTTTTCGGCAGTAGTGGCTGACACGAGTGCAGTGTACTGTACCCTCTCGGTCGCGCCGCAAGCTCTTGGATGTCACCGTCTGTAGCGAGCGGCATCTTTCTCGTGTAAACCGCAAGAAGTTCCTGGTTGGCACAAGCATTGCTTCGTCAATATAGCCTGACAGATTACCACTTGTAATGGTGCTGCGTACCTCAACATCTTCTTGCGTTGGAAATCCCAACACGACAGTCTTGTCAATTCGACCAGGACGGATCAGGGCAGCGTCCAGCGCATTTCTCCGGTCGGTTGCAGCCACGACAAGGATGCCACCGCTCTCGACAGCAGGCGACTTCTTGACATGTGAAGTGGATACACGAACTCGTTGCGAGCCCACACCGTCCATCTCGTTGAGGAAGGTGGAAAGCACTCGGGCGTAGACTCCTCCACCACTGCTGCCTCCATCGTTTCCACTAAACGATCGCTTGTGAGCGATGGAATCAAACTCGTCAAAAAACAAGAGACACGGTGAGGCGGCACGTGCTCGAGCTGCGAGCAAGCAGCAGTTGTAAGCACACAATCAGTCCTCCTGGACAGACTTGGGTATAATGCTGCAAAGACGTACCGAAGAGCTGGCGAACTGCTTTTTCGCTATCCCCAAAGTACTTGGACAGCAGCTCTGATGACTGGAGTCGAATGCATAAACCGCGAGGATGAGCCTACTACTGGTTGTTGTCACACAGGTTATAGGAAAACAATGTAGCTCAACTCACCTTCACGGATACAAAGTTGACTCGGGCTTGAGCTGCCACAATTTGCACGAGCAGCGTCTTACCGCAGCCTGATGGACCTGACAGCAATATCCCTGACGCCTCGGAAATGCACAAGCGCTACAAAGATCAGGGATCGTCAACGAATGGACGACGTGATACCCAAAGTAAACAACACACACACCAAACGTACGCTCATCGCTGCAGTCGGGTGGAATGTTCGAGTGATGAAGTCCCACAGTTGCTGTCGAACAGCAGCATAGCCAGCAAAAGCAAGCTTTCCATCCCCATGTGCACCAGGCGATGACACGTTGAGCTCTCGCAGCTGAGAAGGTTTGATGTGCTGCTGAGCTCGCAATAGATCGGACCATCCGACAGATGACTCGGTCGGATCGCCATCAAGAGTCGATGCGGCATGCACTTGAGCAGTCGCGTATCGACAGATGCGTACAAGATCTTTGGCCACGTAGCCCCCACTTAGTGCCGCCAACCGTGACGCTAGACTTGCTGCATGACCATTGCCTTCACTGTCTGCTCCTCTTCGTAGTGGCAACCCGACCAGATGCCGTTGCAAAATGTCTCGTCGGCCTTGTTCTGTCGGGACGACCAAGTCCACAACTTTGTCAAACCTTCCAGCACGCTTAGCTGCAGATGGTATGTTCACATCAGCACTTGCAGTCGTCCCAACCACAACGAAACGTGTGGAGCGCAAACTCCGTTCGTCAATTAGTCGGAGCAACGCGCTGCCAAGTGACGTAAACTGCATCTCGGAGCCGTCGGCGAGCTGGCCATCCACCGATTGGAAGAGCATCTCCAAGTCATCGATCAGCACAACACCAACACATGATGATGACTCGCGTTTGGTCTCGACGTCAGCTAGAGATCGTGATCGGGGAAAGCGCTGCTCCAGTGCGTAGACCAAGTACTCATAAGCTGTTGGAAATGCTGAACCTTCAGCCGTCATGAGCAACGACATACCGTCAATCCGCCACGTGGCGATCTGCTCGTGAACAAGCTCCCGCTGCAAAGCCACTAGTGCTAGCGACTTCCCCACACCATGTACACCCGAAATGAGTAACCCGTGAGAGCCAATTTGGTCCATCTCCACACCGGTATCAAGTCTCCTTTGTTCGTGCTTTAGCACAAGGGCAAGTTGAAACAGCACGTCTTGCACAAACACAGTGCATCCTACAAAGCCAGTCTGCCACAGCCGAATGTTGAGCTCACGCTCGTACGATGAAGCTGCCGCTCTAGTGGAATGCTCTTCCCGCATGCTCAGCGTCGCGACCTTCTCCGTCACTTCTGCTGTAGCCTGATTATCAGCCGAAACTTCCTCTGTCGCACTCCATCCTATCACAACCAGGTGCAACTTTCCATCCAACTCTCGCTTCTCCTCGATCCCGTCGATCCGAAAGACGTACGTATCTCCCAGGAGCCTCACCGGCACCAGTTGTCCTTCCAGAGGAGCGTCAAGCACTCGTGCAGCACACAGCTGACGACGCACTGCTCTGTCCAGATCAATCTGTCGCTGACGTACGCTCTCGGGCAGCAACTGAGCGCGAGATCCGCCATCGTCCACGCTTCCAGAGACCGCAAGGGGCGGAAAGCGGGTCAGCAGACTCAGCGACAGTCGCCAGGACAAAGCGCCTGCGTAAACCTCAGCGTCCACTTCGACAGGCTCGAGCGTAACCCTCGCGTCTTCTACTTTTCCAGCGACTTGCAACGAGCACGAGGCGGGAGGGGGTGAGTGGCTACAGACAAGCAGGACGAGTCCTAATTGCAATGCGACGGGACAGCAGAAGGGACAGAAGGGAAAAGAACCAGCATTGTACCTTCTTTGACAACAGCACGCGCGAGGAATGTTCACTGAAGAGAAAAAGAAAAGAAATGGACACTACAACACGACACGCGTGGGATAGACGCCAGGCCTCGTGGACGATCGCCGTCGGATCGGAGCTTCACTCGCATGGCCCTAAATGGGCATGGAAACCAAAGAAGAAGAGGAGCATCGCAAGGGGAGCACTGCAGCGGACTTGGACTGTTGCCATGGACTAGCGCAGTGGACAATGGAGAAAGCGGTGTGGTCCTGTAGGTCAAAAAACAAGATGTCGTTAGGCAGCGCAGCTCAAACGGCACAAGTACATAGCAAAGACGTCATCTGCGTGTGGCATACGATAGACGTGCACAGGAGACGCCCCTGTTTGCGACAAAACGCTTCATGGTAATACTTCTAAAGCGATGATCTGTAGCTAATGTCTCTCATCTTGCACCCAGAACGTCTGGGCTTTACTTCGGTTAAATCGACTATCGGCCTGCCAAAAGACACGTGACAATCAGGAACGCAATCAGAAGGAATCGTTGTTGTTGTGCTTTCGTGCATTTGTTCTCAACGTGTTCACATTGTTATTTACTCTGTAGATGGTAGCACTAGCTGAAGAGTTGTGAAATAGCTATAAACTCATCGGCAGGACTTCGACAAAGTTAACATCTTGCACTGGATGCCTAAAAGTGCGCACAGATTGAGATCGGGAGAGCGTGAAAAGCTTTAGTACGCTTGCTTGTTTTTACTCATCGGACGTAGTTGTAAGACGTCTGCTTTATAGTTAGTACCAAACCCTCCCAACTCGTTTCTACCATTTGTACCCATTTATTACAAATCTCCAAACATTTTGTCGTCGACGCCGACTTCAGGCAAAGATAATGGAGTGCATGCTCCACTAACGCCTTGAGTCGCCAAGGCCACAGCGACAATTCTTTCAGGTCGACGATTGCCGTAAAACTTGACGCATGCCTTGATACAAAAACAGATCAGTGGAGGTGGTATTACAGATTGTCTATTTCCATGGTTATATTAACTATACGCGAGATCTCTGGTATATCTTACGCCATACCTGTGATCGTCGGTGGGTGAGTGACCCGGGCTGACGGTGACTGGGGCCCATTAATACTAAAACCTTTGTGGATTCGCGCTCCAGCTTCTGCAAGGGCGAACCTTTGTACATAATGAAGTCTCAAACCTCGAACGCTATTAACACAGCCTGTAGACCGTCGCGTGCTATCGCCAATGCGACGGCACCGAATGTAAAAGATTCGTAATCAGCCGCTTGCGCGTCCTCCGACGTGGAGTGCGGTCACCGATAGCATCCGCGAGGGGCGGGGGACGCCACCCGCCGCTAAACAATCCCCCTGCCTCCCTACGCACGAGCCGCGGTCGCGCGAGAGGCATTCCCAAGTCGTGACCTCCCCCGTTTCTGCTCTCGCGGGGGAGAATTCCCGCCGATAGGGGCGGTCTTATGTGAAGGCGGAGGTTTAAACTGACTTGATGGAGACTGCGAATATTTAGGAATCAAAAACAGATCAGTGGGTCCAAATGCTCCTTTGTCATGTCTATTGGCTGCTCTCGCTTCCGTCTTCGGATGACGTGTGCCGATGCTCAAAGAACTCTTGAGATGAACGACTCCTCGGCCAAAGTTGGGGCACCCGGATCTGATTGATGCCATCAGTTCTCCTCACCTGTGTCAGATCAGATTGACGCTGCGCTTATTTTTCCTGGAGGGCTTACAAAGTCCTGGCGGGGATCTAAACGTTCCCACTGTCGCAAAACAATAGAGAAGCTCATCGAGGTGGTACAAGACTGTCGCGATGGATGCCACTGGTACAAGTCACGGGGACTGTAAATGATAGCTAGCAGCATTCAACGCTCGCAACGCCAATAGGGCACAACTTCTTGTTTTGTCGTATTCAGCTGTTTCAATTGCTGTCTAAATCCTGTCACTTGATCTCAACTGCTAGTCTCGACCTCCCAAAAGTTTACGCACAGCCATAAACCAGAGCAGACAGGAACCCACGCAAGCAGAGCCGGCTAATTTACAATCCACTAACCAGTGATGTTTTTGTAGATGTATGACAGCAATCATCGCCCGCAAAGCTTGCTGGGCACAACTCCCTGATTTGCTCTAGTCTATTGTATGAGCCGCTATCCCCAGCCTGTCGCTCGATCTCGGCTGTGCAACTGACTCTTAAAAGTTTACGTACAGCCACTATAAAGAAGAGCAGAAAGAAATTTATTCGCCAATCAAACTGGTAGGAGCCCACTCAGCCCTGATTTTTCCTTCCATTGCTGGCTTTTTTTCTGTCTCAACGTGTGATGTGTTCTCCTGGTCTTCTTACAAGTTTACGATTTGCCATAAACAAGACCAGACAGGGATCTACGCTCGTAGATCCAATTGGCTGAAAACGAAAGAACGCTGATTTGTCATCCAAGGCTTCGTTCTATGATCTCGTGAAGAAGCATCTCTTGTTTTTTGTATGGAGTAAGTCGATGGCTTCGCCCAGTCAACATCCCATGACTGGGGACGGTTGGCCCTTGGACTTTCAAGCATCTGCTCCAAACGGCCATTCTGGAATTTGCCAAACAGGGCACGGACTACTACTCCAAGGATCAAGCACCATCTCCGATGAACTTTAAGGGCTTACTGGCCGTCGTGATGGCCACCACCGCATGCAGTCCCTCCATGAGTCAAACCGCCGAGTTCAAGTGCACTTTTGATGTTGACGAATGTTTCAATCTTGATCCGGGTCAGCTCGATACAGCTACCAAAAACTGTGCAAGTGATCGTACCGTTGAATGCTGCAAAAAAGAATGCTATCCTCACAGTTGCTTTGCCGACACGACCTGTAAAGGCCTGAGGGCTGGTTCCGTAAAACTTGCGACAGGCAATTGTGCTAATAGGTCTGATATACCAAATTGTTGCGGTGAAGTCTGTCGCGCAGTTGGAGGTCGTTAGAGCACGTCGTCACGAGTATCTCTACACCGCAACTCATGAAGGAGCCCCGTTGACGCGAATCTACCGTGGATCGAAGGTCTCATTCTGGTGGATTCTAGCATTTAGACCACTTCAAGAGCACGTACGCTAACTTTGATCGAATACAAAAAGTTCTTAGTTGCCAACTTGCAGTTTGTTATCGTGTGAATTTCAAACTTTAGCTTCTTCCTGCATGAATGTATTTGCCTGCCGCCCCGTCTTTCTAGCCTACTCCTGTTCAGTCAGAACTGGTAAGCGAGTAGACTGACAAAAATCATATTAACTGCTCGGCATTCACTTAGCTTACTATACTCGAGATAACTGGGACATTCCAGAGCCAGGGAAATGGTGTCCATTTCCTCGGAAGGGAAGTTTCCCTCGGTGAGTCCAAGGTAAAATGGTGGAAGTCTCATCCTCGCTGCCCCCTCCGGGAGGCAACATCCCACAATGCCTCGAAAAGGTAGCAGTCCGCAGGAAATCCCTGGCTTTGGGCTGTCTACCAAGTTCGAGGTGTCCGGCATCGCTTCAGTTTCCACCCTCCACGATCCAGCCCAAGTCGCTGACACGTTCGCCGAGCTCAAACGCCATACCCAAGACGAGAACAGCATCAAGAGCCGTGACCATCCCGCTCACAGTCAGTATTGTTGCAATGTGCAGGAAGCAGCAAGCCCGACACATTTTTTAGAGCAACTCGACCTTTTCGAAAGCCCAGGGTACGTCCTGAAGGCTTGTTGGTGCTCTGCAAGTTGTACATCCAAGCGTTCGCTGCACCCTGAATCTTGACGACCCCATAGCGCGAGCAGCCCAGCCATCTGTTCACGACTGCGCACCAAATTAGAGTTACCCGAACTTGATCAACATACCCACTCGGGTGTCTTGAGAAAAATGTCTTTGTGAACCCTGAAGTACCGAGCCGGCAGAATTATAAAGTGAGCAGGAGGACGATAGCGTCATGGTAGACGAATAAGATTACCAATCAGCAAGAGATCTTGCACGTAGTTGATCTTCTAGTCGGTTGACTGTATTTGTAGGACGCGATGCTCCAGCTCACGATGGATAATATCTACAGTCTTCCCTCCGATAAGTTTTTCCCAATAACTTATAATATCTAGTAGTCCATCGATTTCCGCGTCTAAAGACGTTGTTCCATCGCCGCTAAGGTTTAAATTTTAAGCTATGATCAAAAAGGACAATATATATTGAAAAATGAGCATCTGTTTTCGTATATGTAACGGGGTGAATCGTTACATAACAATTTATAAGAAATTGTTAATAGAATATAACTATAAGAGTTATATTCTCAGAATATTGTCATAAGGACAAATATTCTGTTGCACTTCCAAGTAGTTCGTAATTGGTTGATATAGGCCATTATATCAACCAACGAAGACGCGCCACGACAGACGCACGCAAGGAGTGGTGAGCAGATAATTGATTTACACATTTGTATTTAGACATAGTTAGATGAAGATAAATAGTGATCTATTGCAGACATTAACTATTATAAATACAGTTCTACTTTTTACTTTAACCAAGTACTCGCTTCTTCTTACCGTCTTCCTCTGCACGTACCAGTGTACGTGAAGTCATGCGGCACCGCCTTATTCTGTCATCAGAATAAGTAGCTTGTACTGTCACCAGTACAAGCTTCAGGGTGCCCCGTTACACCTGGTAGCACTTCGTAGTCCGTCCAAGGACCACGTTCACATCTAACATGAATATGTTGGATGATGAAGATGACCAAAGCTCTCACGCTACGCGTGACGGCTACTCCCATCTGAGCGATGTCGAATGGGATGCGGTTGAACGGATGGGTTCAACCATGGGCATCCATGCTGTTAGCGTCATGCTAGAGGCTCTCAATAGAGATGCCCAACATGCTACTATCGCCAAGTTCATTCAAAATGAACTTGACGCTGAACGCGAGAAAGTAGCCTTGCTTCACCAACAAGGTTCTCAACAAGCAGAGTTGTTGAGAGAACAGGGTGCTCAACAGTTTGAACTGTTGGGACAGCAGCAGGCTGCCGCTGGTGGGTCGATGCATTCGCGTCGACCCGAGACCTTAAAGATTGACATCTCCAAGTATAGGAGAGTCGAAGAGGACTCCCTCCTGAGATGGTTTGTCGAATTAGACGACGCCGTAAGGGCGCGTCGCATCGACGACGGGGATACGCAAGTTTCTTTTGCCCAGTCAAATCTGGCAGGACGTGCCAAGACTTGGGCACTGGGGCTCAAGTTGCACGACCCATATGCGTTTGGGTCGTTAGAAGTCTTCAAGTCGCGGCTCAGACAAACGTTTGAACCGCCTAGAGCTGAGTTCAGAGCTCGAACCGAACTCTTGAAGCTCAAGCAGGGTAAGCGTGATGTGCACGCTTACGCGCAACATATACGACATCTTACGAGTTGTATAAGTTCCAATCCGGTAATGAACACACGTTGGTTTCGGTGTTCATGCAGGGTCTTGCGGATGGTCCCGTCAAGACTCACCTGTTCCGGCTTGAACTAGATTCACTAGAACAAGCCATATTCATTGCAAAACAGGAAGACTTCAGTCTGAGACAGGCTCGCTCCAGCTCGACATCATATCGTCAACCGAGACGATATGGCAACGGAGGTCCAGAGCCGATGGAACTCTGTTATGTAGAGAGCGAGAAGGCTCGCTCTACAGACTACAAGAAGTTGCAGAAATGCAACAGATGTCAGAAGACAGGACACTACGCTTATGAGTGTAGTGCCCCTCGTCCAGTGTCTCGCAACACTGGGCGTAGTGACCGTACACCCATGAGAAAGGGGCAGGGACGCGGGTCCGCTGTTGGTGCAAAGACGCAACAACGGGATGGACCGTTAAAAAACGGACAGGATCAGTAGGTGCGGAGCATCCTACTAGTCCAGCAATGCCAAGAGAATTTGTAGGCCTCTTGATGAAGGTTGCTCCCAACACACAAACGTTGTGCGTTCCTGCACTAGGTAATGAGATATAACTCATTACCTTGAAACTCGAAGTGACAAATAAGTTGTCCCTTCGAGCCCTAGTCGATTGTGGGGCGTCCAACAATTTTGTGCGACTCCAATCGCTAGAAGATGGTCACTTCAAGTTCAGTGAATGTGACACACCTCCTACAAGGATGACGGTACGTCTTGCGACAGGCGCATCCGTAACCGTCATAGAGCGTATAGTGAAGATCCACTGTACGCTAGTAGATACCCGATATGACGATGACTTTATCGTATTGGATTTGGATGACAAATTTGATGTCATCCTTGGAATACCGTGGCTCAGAAGGTACGAACCACGGGTAAACTGGCAACATCGAACAGTAACGATGCCTGCCGCTTGTTCATCAGAGGGCCATCTGATGAACGTTTTGGAGCGTCCACAAGCGTGTGGATGTACTACGAGTGAGTGCGATGGCCTCACTTGTGGTACGGTCGTTAGTACGACTGCACAAAACCTTAGCGTACCAAACGGTTACACTTCGGAGCAAAGTTCCGGTGGCTGTGAGGAAACACAGGCTGCGCCGAAGGTCCACCACTCGAATAAGTCGAGTGGACCGGGACAAAGATGTATCCATAGCGGGGAACATCTGGAAGAGAAACCATCGATTGCTCAGGTTAAGCGAAACGATAATCCTAGATCGACTGGAGAGTCTTTCGTAGAGGATCTCGCTGTGGTTGCGCAACCACAGCTAGAGGAAGTTAAGGGAATCAATCCCGATATTTTACAAATACGGTGGAAATAAGTTCCCCGAAACCCGAGGGAATAAGTCTCCGGGAAGCCGAAGGAATAAGTCCTTCGAGGCCTGAGGGAATAAGTCCCCAGGAAACGACAGAGACATTAAATGTCATGGTCAATAACGGATCAAGTGTAGGCGCTTATACACTTAATCTGATTGCGCCTCCGAAGTTGACTTCGGAGATCACTCAGTTGCCAACGCTCGAACATAAAAGGTTCTTGCGTGATCTGCGTAGTGGCAAAGTCAAGCAGATCTGCGTACTCGTCGCTGACGACGAGTGTGTAACCGACATAAGGTCAGCAACAGTGTTTACTGAGAACGAGAGAGTTCTCAGTAGTTCATCTATGGACGAGAGTGTCCTCGATGAAAAGACACGAGTTGAGCGATATGACTCCCAATCGTGGGAATCGCTCAAGACAAATCCTCTCGATGAAGATTTGGTTGAATTCAAGGATGTATTCCCTGAAACTGTTCCGTGCGAATTACCGAAGGATAAAGGTATTCGGCACGAGGCCGAGCTTAAACCAGGCTTGACGTACTGTGTCATGAAGCAGTGGCCACTGCCTCGTGAACAAGTACTTGCGATCGACAAGTTTTTTGCCAATCGTTTAGCTGCGGGCCATGTGAGGGAATCAACCTCCCCACATAGCTCTCCGACCTTCTGTATGCGAAAAGCAACAGGAGGGCGGCGGATTGTGCATGCATTTAACAAGTTGAATGCTGCAACGGTGCCGGCTCAGACGCCGATACCAAGGAAGGACGTAAACTTTGATGGTACGTCAAAGAGTACCATCTTTTCGTCCATGGATTTGATGGATGGCTTCTATCAAATCCTTTTGCGAGAACGGGACATACCCCTATACCGCAGTGAGCACGCCTAGCGGCATGCTCTGGGAATGGCTAGTAATGCCCCTGCCACGTTCAACAGATGTGTATCACATCTGTTGAGACCAGTACGAAAATTTGCACCGAGTTGTTTCGATGACGTATTCATTCATAGTCGGGCTATGGATGGAAAGTCGGACGTTGAGGTTCACAGATACCACGTCCGACAGGTTCTTACAATCATGCGAAAGCATCAATTGTATGCAAATCTCAAGAAGTGTATATTTGCAGCAAGCGAAATACCACTTCTTGGGTGCATCGTTGGTAAGAACGGTGTACGTCCTGATCCCGAAAAGATCAAGGCGATCACCGACTGGCCTGTGCCGGTTGATGTCAAAGGTCGTCGAAAATTCCTTGAGCTAGCGGCGTATTTGCATAAGTATTCACGCAATTACGCCGAGATGACTGTGCACCTCTCTCGTTTGTTGAAAAAGAACGAGAGGTGGTTATGGAACGCTGAATGTCAACGCTCCTTTGAGGGTATCAAGCAAAGCTTGATACAATCCCCAGTCCTAGCAATAGCCGATCAGGACAGGCCATTTCATGTGGTCTGTGATGCCAGCGATTTCGCAATCGGCTGTGCATTAATGCAGTACGATCTTGAAGGCGTTGAACGCGTCGTCTGCTATCAGTCGCGTCAGCTGCAACCAGCTGAGCGGAACTATCCAGTGCATGACAAGGAACTCCTTGCCATGAAGTATGCACTCGCGAAGTTCAGAGTCTATCTATTAGGAGATAGAACCTTCATTGTTTACACTGACCATGCTTCAGTACGCACGGCAGTGAACAACCCGCACCTGTCACAACGAATGGCGCGGTGGTTGTCATTCTTTGCAGAATACAACTTTACGGTCGAGTACAAACCAGGACGACTTAATGTCGTCGCTGATGCACTCTCACGTCGTCCCAACTTTGAAACAGTCGCGAAACCCAACAGTGAGACAGTCACTGTTGCGGTTATGACGTCCTCAGTCCCATCTACAACGTTGTATGATGATGTGAGGCGGGCATACGCCCAAGATGGTGAGATTGTGAAGTTGTTGACACATCTCTCCCAACCATCTCGAGAATCGTTGAAACGATTGTCGTCTGCGTATCGATCTGCATCAGATCGATACACTACTCGCGACGGGTACTGTATTATACAGCCGTTTCTGGTGAAACACCACGTGTTGTCATTCCAGAAGATACTGATATGCGTTTGCGGATCATGTTCGAGTATCACGATGCTCCTATAGGAGGACATCGTGGCCGGGAGAAAACATCTCTCACGGTGAGTCGACACTTTTACTAGCCCCGCCAGTATCAGTTTGTGCGAAAGTATGTTTGCGCATGCGAAGTCTGCCAACGATTGAAGTCAAGTCCTTCACTGCGTGCACCTTTACAGCCTCTACCGGTTCCGGCTGAGTGCTGGGAATCCATCTCAATGGATTTTGTCTTCGGGTTACCCAAAGACGCACGCGGGAATACGGGTATTCTCGTATTTGTTGATAGATTCAGCAAAATGGTACACCTTGTGGCTGTACCAGAGACAATCACAGCAAGTGGCTGTGATTGTGTCTTTATCGACACCATCTTCCGACTTATTGGGTTGCCCCGTGAACTCGTATCAGAGAGAGATCCACGATTCGCTGCTGATTTCTGGCGTTCCGTGTTCAAATCACTCGGAACGCGCTTGAAGATGTCGACATCTGATCATCCAGAGTCAGATGGTCAGACGGAACGTGCCAATCGTGTCCTCGAAGAGATAATTCGAGGATATGTACACTACTTTACGAGTTGGAGTGAGTTTTTGCCAATGGTAGAGTTTGCCATTAACAACTCGGTGCATGCGTCCACGACACATACACCGTTTTACGTGAATGGCTTACGCCATCCGCGTGTACCCACCTTACTAGAGTGTAACTCTGGTTTAAGGGGGCGAGGGACTCGCGCGAGCAAAAACCGATTTGGTTCACGTTCATCACGCTCTGACGAAGAGGTCATTGCGTTTGATGCCGATATCGATAACATCGATATCGAAGAAGATGATGCCAGTGAGAGTGCGGAAGCCCTCACTGAAGAAAAGGTTGATGTTGCTGCAGTGCGCTCACAGCGCACTGAAGCTAACGAGTCGTCAGATGAGTTCATGCTGGCTCGTGAAACGGTAGTCCGTTTTGTGCAAGACTCCGTCTCCGAAGCGGTGGATAAGCAAAAGCAAAACGCTGACAAGAATGGAAGGGCAAACACTCTTTTATTTAATAAAGGTGAATTAGTCCTACTGTCTACGACTAATCTACCAAAGCATGTAGTGACTAACTTGGGTAGCAGTAAACTACTACCCAAGTACATCGGGCCATTTCGTGTATTGCACCGCCTAGGCAATGCATACACGATCGAGTTATCACGTAAGATGCGAGCGCATCCCACGTTTTACGTTGGTCGGCTTAAGCTTTACCATCAGTACGCTGCTTCTTCCGATGAAGAACGCCCTTGCGCTCAAGCATCTCGCAGAGAGCCTTGTGCTCCCGATGGTGGGCATCGACAAGGGTCTGGAGAGCTGTTATCTCAGCCCGAGACCGATCAACAATCCTACGAGCTACCCTTAGCTCTTCACGAAGAGATGTCAGAGCTCTCTCGTTCTCAAGCTGAGCAAAGGCAAACTCAGCTCGATGCTTCAAGACAGTGTCCGCCATTTGGAGACGCCTGTCCCGCTCATGTTCAAGATCGTTGCTTAACCCTTGCGTTACGCGATCAAAGAAGCTCTCGGGAACACACGGATCCCCATGATCGTGTGGAGAGCGTCTTTCCATCTCCACCACCTCCATTAGAGGACTCTCGCGGTGGCCAGCGCTATCTAGTTGAGCAGCTGTTGAACCACCGCGACGTGAACGGACGTCGGACGAGTTATCTCGTCCGGTGGCGCGGCTATCCCCCGTCCTGGGATACTTGGGAGCCCCGCTCCCAACTGATGATCGACGCACTGGGTCTGGTTGAGCAGTACGACGCGGCACATCCTGTGCCGCAGAAGGACCGCCGGAGAAAGTCTTCCCGGCACGGTCGTAAAGGGATTTCAGGTTGTCAATCCCTTTGTACATCTCAGTAGAGATACGTACGCGCCACCACGGGCTTTTAAGGAGGTAGGCCTCCTTAGGTGCTCGTGCAGAGTTGTTCACACAACATGGGCACGAGTATCCCCATGAAAGGCAGGGTAATCCCTTCTCCCTTGACAGACGATGCAGCTTGTAGCGTGCACCTGTCGGGGTTCGCTTTTCAAACTTATCAAGAGCTTTGATAAGTTTGTCGTTCCAAGCGTCACGACCTACATCCTCAAGGTTATGGATGTAGGCGTTCCACGCCTGAAGTAGTGAGGGACCATCACGTTTGTGATTCCCACTGTACCATCGATGTCTAAAGAAAGCATCGATGAAGAATTCATGTTCGGCGCGATAATTTTTCGCACTGGGGTCAAGGTGATGGATCCTTGACGAATTGAACAATCGTTTTCGATAACGATCGCTCGTCGTCGCCGGCAAGTGACCCATGACGGAATTGGGAGGCATCCATGCCTTCTTCTCGGGAGCGAGACGCAACACACTGCGGTCCCGCTCTTCTTGCGACTTGCCGACAGAAGGACTGGCACCTTGTTGTGAAGTGGTGTCAATAGGAGAACCGACACCACTGTTAGCGCCCGAGTCTCGCGACCTCGAGCGCCTTCGCTTCGGCGATGGTTCATCTGATTCATCAGATGAACCAAATATGCTACGACGCATAGCATCATCCATGCCACGCTTGGCAGGCGGCTTGGATTCGATCGCCGTCGATACGGTTCCGTCTTCCGTATCAGGAGAGTATGAGACACCGAGCTCATACTCTGTGAAGACATGAGTGTCTTCATGACGAGCGCCTGCATCACCAGGTGACACAGGCTGGGTCGCTTCAGCAACCGATGAGACATCAGTTGCTGTGGTTTCTGCCGTGGCGTCCGCACAGAGACGTGTGGACGCGTTCTCGGCGGCCTTGCTCGCGCACCGCATGGGCTTGTTAACCATGCGATGAACTGTTGGAAAGTGGACTCGGACCAACAAGTGCAAACCCCGTCCCAAACGATTTGGGACGAGTATCCATTTAGTCAACCAGTCATTAAAGTGACTGATGGTTAAGGGGGGGGTGATGTAACGGGGTGAATCGTTACATAACAATTTAGAAGAAATTGTTAATAGGATATAACTAAAAGAGTTATATTCTCAGAATATTGTCATAAGGACAAATGTTCTGTAGCACTTACGAGTAGTTCCTAATTGGTTGATAGAGGCCATTATATCAACCAACGAAGACGCGCCACGACAGACGCACGCAATGAGTGGTGAGCAGATAGTTGATTTACACATTTGTATTCAGACATAGTTAGATGAAGATAAATAGTGATCTATTGCAGACATTAACTATTATAAATACAGTTCTACTTTTTACTTTAACCAAGTACTCGCTTCTTCTTACCGTCTTCCTCTGCACGTACGAGTGTACGTGAAGTCATGCGGCACCGCCTTATTCTGTCATCAGAATAAGTAGCTTGTACTGTCACCAGTACAAGCTTCAGGGTGCCCCGTTACAGTATAAGAAAAGTAAAAACTTCTTGAACAACATGTCTAGGGTGGTTCGGATGGTGGGAGTGTTGCGAAGATCAAGCTGAAGGTTGTGAAAGACTTTATTAGCGGCTAGGTGACGTTCTTGGGATACGTCAAGCAGCGAGCAGGCATTACGAAATAAGTTAATCTTCTCGGTTCTGGAAAAATTTCCTGCAACAGGCGCTGCATCTTCACTGCTTTCCTCCTCCTCATCTGCCTTTGAAACTTTTTTTGGACATCTCGTTGTCGGCTAGCTCAGGCTGAGCAGTCTCATCCTCTTTGACGAAATCGAGAAGCTCCATAATCTCTGTGGGATCTCGGACACGCATCTTCTTGAGCTGTGCTATCAGCTCATGATCCAGCTCACACTCATCCTCCTCGACCCCCGTCGTGCTATCTTTACTACAACTCACCTCCACTACAATTAAAATGACCGATTCAGTAGAAAAAACCGTGTGGCTGAAGCAGTTGGCAATGGTAGTGCTTAAAATCTCGTTCCAGGCAGCCACCGACCAGCGCATGCAAGCACTTTGGACGAAATTGTAAATGTCAAAACCCTTCCTATGCTCGTCACAGTCGATCGCATTCTGCAGATGGTACCGGCAATACCGCTGCTTGAACGCCGCGAGGATACCAGCATCCATCCGCCGAATGATGAAGGTCGTACGTGTTGGAATCAGCTGGACCTTGACGTTCGTTAACGTAAGGTCGTTCGTCTTATGTGACGGAGCATTGTCAATCAAAAGAAGGATATTTCTACTTTTAATCTGATACAATGCATTATTAAAATTATGAGTTTTCCAATTTCAAAGGCGACGCACCTTTATTGTTTTATCTGGATTTGCAAGCAATTCCTGGAAGGATACGCCCGTCTCCAAGCCTTTGTGTTGTTGTGATAGAGATATCCATTAGCTTCACCTGACTTCTGATCAAGTCAGCGGATTTTCTTGGCTTTCCGATATAAAAAGGCTGCAGCTTGTCAGAGCCATCATCATCTGCAGTGAGCGCAATTTTAAATCGCGACTGCACAGGATGTCAGTGCACACCCCTGTGTTAGCATATGGCAGCAAGCATTCTGCGATACACTCACCTTGTCTTTTTGTGTACTTCGATTTCTTGCTGTGCAATAGCTCTGTCAGGTGTCATGCTGTAGTATAGTCCTGCATTTTTTTGTCCGACTCGGTTTTAATTATAAACGTAACAAACACAGTTTGCCGGTTTCATCCATGTTGTATACTCCACACAGCGCGTACTATGCGACATCCTTCTTAACATCATCCGGAGCTTTATAGACAGCCTCCACGCCCACCGAGCCGCTTTCATCGTAGATTTATACAGCGTGGAGCATGCAACGGCACCGGAATTTATGAAGCCATCCGTGCGAGAAAGACATGGCGTCATCAAAAGTAATAAGCGATTAAGCAAGCCTATGGGCCTTTGCACAGATGATGTACCCATTAATAATCACTCCGCGGTGTTGACATTGCAGGACCCAAATAGACACAGCTTCTTCCTTTATGGTATGTTGAACCAGTCGCTGTCGCGTTGCATTTAGGCCGCTTCGCTCCAAATTCTCCAGATTAGACCTTTTTTTGAAAGATCTTGCTCATTGATGCCTGTGACAGCGTTTTGACAAGGCTGAACTCCACTGTAGACCATTTCGCCAGTGCCGTTTTAGATAAATTTGGGTTATCATCCTTGTGTTTGCGTATTTGCAGACTTTTTCCATTGGTAGGACAGATCTGCAACATTTTACACTACTCAAATATCGCACCAACAGGCAAGTCACGGTTAAAAAATGTATACATGCGGCTTTCCCTGGGTTACAATTGTTCGCTCGGACGAAAGAAGCTATGGGTGCGTCTCATATTGTTGGGAAGGTAGCAAACTTTCCAGGAGCCTGATACTTTTGTTATTTTCCAGAAGTTAAAGACTTTTGGATGGGTTTTGGCTTGTACTTAAGGGAAGTGGGGCTTTGGTTGGTTTGGGTGCCCATGTCCGCTTATTTGTCAGTTAATAGATCGATTCTTCTTATGTACAATACACAAAATCAGTTGAATATATTCTTTTGCTGATTTGCGGTGATTGTCGTCCACCGTACCCACAACGTATCGGAGTGAAGACTGTATGTATCTCAATTGCATACATAAATGATTCAACCGATTTTGTCGAATCCATGTCTATTTGTTGTAAAAGAGACGTCTCGGCATGATGTGACAGAAATGTGTTCTGTAGCTTAGCCGGTTTGGTATGGCAGTACCATCCCAAAGGTCACTGGTTCGATACCAGTGGGGGCGTACAAACAACAAATTAAGCCTTCGGGATCTGGTGTTTGGGGTTCACCAGCACCGTACTGCCAGACAGTGACGTCCCCCATTTTCGGTACGTTTGGGTGTTCAGAAACGCACGACCAGAATTAGAAACGTACGACTAGACGATTAGTAATGCGTGACTAGACGATCAGTAATGCGCGATGTGGCGATTACTAATGCGCGACTATACGATTAGTAATGCGCGATGTAGCGATTAGGAACGTATAGTCGAGGAATCTTGTAGGCTTAGAGTAGCAACAGATTTTGAGAACTAAGGACCTAAATAGATTCACTTTGCATTTTACCATCTAGTGCTCGACTGCCTTAGCCTTCAGGTTATGAAACCAAGCCCCGTTTCCTCCAACGAAGACTCCGACTACGTCTTTGCCATGGACGCTGCCGCAACGCCGACCGCCCGCACCAACAAGTTCCAAGGGACCAACTTCCACACATGGAAGTTCAAGATGCATATGGTCCTGGAAGAGCGCGACCTGTGGGAGGTCACATGTGGAGAAGTCAAGCTGGAGCACTGCACCAACGTGATGGATCAATCGACGTTCAAGAGAAAGTCACACAAGGCGCTGGCGATCATCTGTCTCGCAATGGAAGATTCGCAGCTGCCGCTGGTCCGTTCAGCGATTGGAGCGTACGATGCATGGTCAAGGCTGGAAGGGCATTACGAGAAGAAGAGTCTGGCGAACAAGCTCTTTCTTCGTCGACGCTTCTTCACAACGATGATGGATGAAGGTGATGATGTGCTGGAGCACATCAACAAGCTCAAGACTCTGGCGGAGAAGCTCGATGCGGTTGGCGCTCCGGTCAGCGAGGACGACTTGGTGATCACGCTTCTTGGTAGTCTAAGCGATTCGTACCAGTTTCTGATCACGGCGTTAGAGTCTCGTGCTGAATCTTTGTCGTGGGAACTCGTGACGTCTAGGCTAATGCATGAAGACATGAAGCGCAAGGAACAAGGTGGCGGCGTCGACGGATCCGCGCACGGTCAAGGTCAAGCGTTCATGACAAGCAATCACAGCAAGCGAAAAAGAGGACGGCCTGTGCAGAAGGCCAGTGCATGTCACTACTGTGGCGAGCAAGGACATTGGATTGCCAAGTGTCCAGTGAGGATCCGCGAGAATGCGGAGCGGCAGAGGTCGCAAAGAGCAAGCGTCGCGCAGGTTGAAGAAGACTCTGGCGACTTTCTGTTTTCAGTTGATGGAGATAACATCAAGCTGAGTGAAGAGTGGCTGGTCGACTCAGGTGCAACTCAGCACATGACATACTCAAAAGAGTACATGAAGAACTACCAGAAGATCTCGCCAGTGGATGTGCATTTGGCGGATGATGGCGTGGTACAAGCAGTGGGAAAGGGAGACATCATCATGTCAATGAGGACAAAACACGGCGTCAAGAAATGTGTGCTTACTGGTGTGTGGCACATCCTCAAGTTGACGTGCAGCCTGTTCTCTGTGGGGTGTTTTACGAAGGACATTGGCCACGTCACATTTGAAAGTGACGGGTGCTTTGCTCAGTCGAAGAGTGTGAAGTGGCAGCTGGGTACGCACAAGGGAAAGGGCTTATTCAAGTTATGCATGACCCTGCTCATGCCAGATGAGGCAAATGTGTCAAGTTCAACCGGTTTCAATGGGACCAACCGGTCGTACCTCTGGCATCTTCGACTTGGCCATATTGGCCGTAACGGTCTAGACTCCATTGTCAAGAAGGGCTACGGCAACGGCATCAACATCACGTCTGTTCAACAGTGGGAGATGTGTTAAGGGTGTGCTCTTGGCAAACAAACTCGAGTGAACTTTATGCCAAAGTCCCCAGAGAGTGCAAAGAAGATGCTAGAAGGCATCCACAGCGATGTCTGTGGTCCTATGCAAACAGCTTCGCTCGGTGGAAGCAGATACTTTGTCACGTTCAATGAAGAGTATTCACACTTTAGTGTGGTGTTCTTGCTTAAGAACAAGTCTGAAGTGGCTTCTAAGTTTGCCGAATTCGTCGTATTTGCAGAGACTCAGACAGGAAACCGCGTCAAGCTACTTCGCAGTGACAACGGCGGAGATTACAAGTCGCATGAGATGACCAAGCTGTGCAGCAGTCGTGGCATTGTACAAAAGTTCACGCCTCCCTACACACCTCAACTCAACGGAGTGGCAGAACGGATGAACAGGACATTGGTGGAATGCGCGCGCTGCATGATGGAGCATGCCGGACTGTCGAAGGAATACTGGGGCGAAGCGGTTGTAACCGCTACATTTCTTCGAAACCGATGTCCAACACGTGCCACAAGTCAAGACAAGTCGCCACATCAAATCTGGACCGGCAAGAAACCGCTGTTTTCAAATCTGAAGGTGTTCGGTTGTCACGCATACGTGACGGTCCCGAAGCAAAAGCGCATCAAGTTTGATGCGCAGTCAGTCTATTGCCGCTTCATAGGATACTCTGAACACGAGAAAGCGTATCGCTTTGAAGAGATCAAGAGCCGTCGTGTTCTAGTGAGCCGCGACGAAAATTCATGGAAGACGTCTTCGACAGTGGGAGACGCACCGAAAGAGACGCAGAAGATGTCTTTGAAAGTCAAGAAGATGAGAGTACAGGTCATGAATGTCTTTCCGTACCAATTCAGCCTGACGAAGAAGACGCTGCGCAAGACCAAGATACGGAGCCCGGCAGTAAGCGCCACACGCGAACCCCTTCGTTGGAACAAGCTGTGGAGATTCCGGTTCCCAAGCGGCAGAGTCAAAGAATTTTGCTCAAAAACATGTCGGCGGTGGCACAAGTCGAGGACGACTTTGAGACAGCCTACGTTGTGGATTCAGTGGGAGATATGCCGAAAACGTTTAAGTCGGCGATGGAATCCAACAACGCGGTCAAGTGGAAGGAAGCGTGCGACTCCGAAATCGACTCCCTCCGCAAGAACAAGACATGGCAGTTGGTGCAATTACCTAAGGGTCGGAAAACTATCGGACGCAGATGGGTGTTCCGCGTCAGAGAGAATAGCAATTCAGTCAGGTCGCCACAATACCCAGGCCTGAAGTTGACCAAGGCCATGTGCGAAGGAGGTTGCAATCATGCAGAAACGATGGCAAATTTTCCCTACCGGAACGCCTTAGGATGCCTCATTTACCTTATGGTTGGCACCCGTCCTGACCTTGCTGCTGCAGTGGGAGTGCTTAGTCAGTTTGTAGCCGATCCGTGTCCAACACACTGGCAAGCACTCAAGAGGGGTTTTCGGTATGTAAATGGTACCAGGACACACGGAATTGAGTTTCAAGCAAGTGAAGACGACATCCTTCAAGTCTACTCGGATGCAGACTGGGCCGGCGACATAGAGTCAAGGCGCAGTACAAGTGAATACACCTTCATCATGAACAACAGTTGCATCAGCTGGAGGAGCAAGAAGCATCGAACGGTGGCACTATCATCACGGAAGAAGAGTCCATGGCGCTATCGGAGGCTACACAATAATCAGTTTGGTTGAGGGTGTTCCTGTGCGAACTTGGTGAGATGACAAGTAACCAAGCTGTCAAGATCTCCGAGGATAACCAAGGATCAATTGCATTGGCCAGAATTTCACAAACGCACCAAGCACATCGACATTCGCTACCATTTTGTTCGTGAAAAGGTTGCTGAAGGACAAGTGGTGCTAGAATACTGCCCAACCAAGGACATGAAGGCCGATATAATGACCAAGCCGATCACCATCGTACAGTTCCAGAAACTTCGGACCATGTTGGGCATCAAGTCGCCACGACCTGCCGAGGCGAGTGGGAGTGTTGTAAAAGAGACGTCTCGGAATGATGTGACAGAAATGTGTTCTGTAGCTTAGCCGGTTTGGTATGGCAGTACCATCTCAAAGGTCACTGGTTCGATACCGGTGGGGGCGTACAAACAACAAATTAAGCCTTTGGGATCTGGTGTTTGGGGTTCACCAGCACCGTACTGCCAGACAGTGACGTCCCCCATTTTCGGTACGTTTGGGTGTTCAGAAACGCACGACCAGAATTAGAAACGTACGACTAGACGATTAGTAATGCGCGACTAGACGATCAGTAATGCGCGATGTGGCGATTACTAATGCGCGACTATACGATTAGTAATGCGCGATGTAGCGATTAGGAACGTATAGTCGAGGAATCTTGTAGGCTTAGAGTAGCAACAGATTTTGAGAACTAAGGACCTAAATAGATTCACTTTGCATTTTACCATCTAGTGCTCGACTGCCTTAGCCTTCAGGTTATGAAACCAAGCCCCGTTTCCTCCAACGAAGACTCCGACTACGTCTTTGCCATGGACGCTGCCGCAACGCCGACCGCCCGCATCAACAAGTTCGACGGGACCAACTTCCACGCATGGATGTTCAAGATGCAGATGGTGCTCGAAGTACGGGACCTGTGGGAGGTCACATGTGGAGAAGTCAAGCTGGAGCACTGCACCAACGTGATGGATCAATCGACGTTCAAGAGAAAGTCACACAAGGCGCTGGCGATCATCTGTCTCGCAATAGAAGATTCGCAGCTGCCGCTGGTCCGTTCAGCGATTGGAGCGTACGATGCATGGTCAAGGCTGGAAGGGCATTACGAGAAGAAGAGCCTGGCAAACAAGCTCTTTCTTCGTCGTCGTTTCTTCACAACTATGATGGAAGAAGGTGATGATGTGCTGGAGCACATCAACAAGATCAAGACTCTAGCGGAGCAGCTCGACGCTGTGGGTGCTCCGGTTAGCGAGGACGACTTCGTGATCACGCTTCTTGGGAGTCTAAGCGATTCGTACCAGTTTTTGATCACGGCGTTAGAGTCACGTGCGGACACGCTAACGTGGGAGCTGGTGACGTCTCGACTACTGCACGAAGACATGAAGCGCAAGGAACAAGGTGGCGGTGTCGACGGATCAGCGCACGGTCAAGGTCAAGCGTTCATGACAAGCAATCACAGCAAGCGAAAAAGAGGACGGCCTGTGCAGAAGGCCAGTGCATGTCACTACTGTGGGGAGCACGGACATTGGATTGCCAAGTGTCCGGTGCGTATCCGTGGGAATACGGAGCGGCAAAGGCCGCAGCGAGCAAACATCGCGCAGGTCGAAGATGACACTGGCGAGTTTCTGTTTTTAGTTGATGGAGATAACATCAAGCTGAGTGAAGAGTGGCTGGTCGACTCAGGTGCAACTCAGCACATGACATACTCAAAAGAGTACATGAAGAACTACCAGAAGATCTCGCCAGTGGATGTGCATTTGGCGGATGATGGCGTGGTACAAGCAGTGGGAAAGGGAGACATCATCATGTCAATGAGGACAAAACACGGCGTCAAGAAATGTGTGCTTACTGGTGTGTGGCACATCCCCAAGTTGACGCGCAACCTGTTCTCTGTGGGGTGTTTTACGAAGGACATTGGCCACGTCACATTTGAAAGTGACGGGTGCTTTGCTCAGTCGAAGAGTGTGAAGTGGCAGCTGGGTACGCGCAAGGGAAAGGGCTTATTCAAGTTATGCATGACCCCGCTCATGTCAGATGAAGCAAATGTGTCAAGTTCAACCGGTTTCAATGGGACCAACCGGTCGTACCTCTGGCATCTTCGACTTGGCCATATTGGCCATAACGGTCTAGACTCCATTGTCAAGAAGGGCTACGGCAACGGCATCAACATCACGTCTGTTCAACAGTGGGAGATGTGTCAAGGGTGTGCTCTTGGCAAACAAACTCGAGTGAACTTTATGCCAAAGTCCCCAGAGAGTGCAAAGAAGATGCTAGAAGTCATCCACAGCGATGTCTGTGGTCCTATGCAAACAGCTTCGCTCGGTGGAAGCAGATACTTTGTCACGTTCAATGACGAGTATTCACACTTTAGTGTGGTGTTCTTGCTTAAGAACAAGTCTGAAGTGGCTTCTAAGTTTGCCGAATTCGTCGTATTTGCAGAGACTCAGACAGGAAACCGCGTCAAGCTACTTCGCAGTGACAACGGCGGAGATTACAAGTCGCATGAGATGACCAAGCTGTGCAGCAGTCGTGGCATTGTACAAAAGTTCACGCCTCCCTACACACCTCAACTCAACGGAGTGGCAGAACGGATGAACAGGACATTGGTGGAATGCGCTCGCTGCATGTTGGATCATGCCGGACTGTCCAAGGAATATTGGGGTGAAGCGGTTGTAACCGCTACATTTCTTCGAAACCGATGTCCAACACGTGCCACAAGTCAAGACAAGTCGCCACATCAAATCTGGACCGGCAAGAAACCGCTGTTTTCAAATCTGAAGGTGTTCGGTTGTCACGCATACGTGACGGTCCCGAAGCAAAAGCGCATCAAGTTTGATGCGCAGTCAGTCTATTGCCGCTTCATAGGATACTCTGAACACGAGAAAGCGTATCGCTTTGAAGAGATCAAGAGCCGTCGTGTTCTAGTGAGCCGCGACGAAAATTCATGGAAGACGTCTTCGACAGTGGGAGACGCACCGAAAGAGACGCAGAAGATGTCTTTGAAAGTCAAGAAGATGAGAGTACAGGTCATGAATGTCCTTCCGTACCAATTCAGCCTGACGAAGAAGACGCTGCGCAAGACCAAGATACGGAGCCCGGCAGTAAGCGCCACACGCGAACCCCTTCGTTGGAACAAGCTGTGGAGATTCCGGTTCCCAAGCGGCAGAGTCAAAAGAATTTTGCTCAAAAACATGTCGGCGGTGGCACAAGTCGAGGACGACTTTGAGACAGCCTACGTTGTGGATTCAGTGGGAGATATGCCGAAAACGTTTAAGTCGGCGATGGAATCCAACAACGCGGTCAAGTGGAAGGAAGCGTGCGACTCCGAAATCGACTCCCTCCGCAAGAACAAGACATGGCAGTTGGTGCAATTACCTAAGGGTCGGAAAACTATCGGACGCAGATGGGTGTTCCGCGTCAGAGAGAATAGCAATTCAGTCAGGTCGCCACAATACCCAGGCCTGAAGTTGACCAAGGCCATGTGCGAAGGAGGTTGCAAGCATGAAGAAACGATGGCAAATTTTCCCTACTGGAACGCCTTAGGATGCCTCATTTACCTTATGGTTGGCACCCGTCCCGACCTTGCAGCTGCAGTGGGAGTGCTCAGCCAGTTTGCCTCCGATCCGTGTCCAACACACTGGCAAGCACTCAAGAGGGGTTTTCGGTATGTAAATGGTACCAGGACACACGGAATTGAGTTTCAAGCAAGTGAAGACGACATCCTTCAAGTCTACTCGGATGCAGACTGGGCCGGCGACATAGAGTCAAGGCGCAGTACAAGTGGATACACCTTCATCATGAACAACAGTTGCATCAGCTGGAGGAGCAAGAAGCATCGAACGGTGGCACTATCATCACGGAAGAAGAGTCCATGGCGCTATCGGAGGCTACACAATAATCAGTTTGGTTGAGGGTGTTCCTGTGCGAACTTGGTGAGATGACAAGTAACCAAGCTGTCAAGATCTCCGAGGATAACCAAGGATCAATTGCATTGGCCAGAATTTCACAAACGCACCAAGCACATCGACATTCGCTACCATTTTGTTCGTGAAAAGGTTGCTGAAGGACAAGTGGTGCTAGAATACTGCCCAACCAAGGACATGAAGGCCGATATAATGACCAAGCCGATCACCATCGTACAGTTCCAGAAACTTCGGACCATGTTGGGCATCAAGTCGCCACGACCTGCCGAGGCGAGTGGGAGTGTTGTAAAGAGACGTCTCGGAATGATGTGACAGAAATGTGTTCTGTAGCTTAGCCGGTTTGGTATGGCAGTACCATCTCAAAGGTCACTGGTTCGATACCGGTGGGGGCGTACAAACAACAAATTAAGCCTTTGGGATCTGGTGTTTGGGGTTCACCAGCACCGTACTGCCAGACAGTGACGTCCCCCATTTTCGGTACGTTTGGGTGTTCAGAAACGCACGACCAGAATTAGAAACGTACGACTAGACGATTAGTAATGCGCGACTAGACGATCAGTAATGCGCGATGTGGCGATTACTAATGCGCGACTATACGATTAGTAATGCGCGATGTAGCGATTAGGAACGTATAGTCGAGGAATCTTGTAGGCTTAGAGTAGCAACAGAGTTTGAGAACTAAGGACCTAAATAGATTCACTTTGCATTTTACCATCTAGTGCTCGACTGCCTTAGCCTTCAGGTTATGAAACCAAGCCCCGTTTCCTCCAACGAAGACTCCGACTACGTCTTTGCCATGGACGCTGCCGCAACGCCGACCGCCCGCATCAACAAGTTCGACGGGACCAACTTCCACGCATGGATGTTCAAGATGCAGATGGTGCTCGAAGTACGGGACCTGTGGGAGGTCACATGTGGAGAAGTCAAGCTGGAGCACTGCACCAACGTGATGGATCAATCGACGTTCAAGAGAAAGTCACACAAGGCGCTGGCGATCATCTGTCTCGCAATAGAAGATTCTGCAGCTGCCGCTGGTCCGTTCAGCGATTGGAGCGTACGATGCATGGTCAAGACTGGAAGGGCATTACGAGAAGAAGAGCCTGGCAAACAAGCTCTTTCTTCGTCGTCGTTTCTTCACAACTATGATGGAAGAAGGTGATGATGTGCTGGAGCACATCAACAAGATCAAGACTCTAGCGGAGCAGCTCGACGCTGTGGGTGCTCCGGTTAGCGAGGACGACTTCGTGATCACGCTTCTTGGGAGTCTAAGCGATTCGTACCAGTTTTTGATCACGGCGTTAGAGTCACGTGCGGACACGCTAACGTGGGAGCTGGTGACGTCTCGACTACTGCACGAAGACATGAAGCGCAAGGAACAAGGTGGCGGTGTCGACGGATCCGCGCACGGTCAAGGTCAAGCGTTCATGACAAGCAATCACAGCAAGCGAAAAAAGAGGACGGCCTGTGCAGAAGGCCAGTGCATGTCACTACTGTGGGGAGCACGGACATTGGATTGCCAAGTGTCCGGTGCGTATCCGTGGGAATACGGAGCGGCAAAGGCCGCAGCGAGCAAACATCGCGCAGGTCGAAGATGACACTGGCGAGTTTCTGTTTTTAGTTGATGGAGATAACATCAAGCTGAGTGAAGAGTGGCTGGTCGACTCAGGTGCAACTCAGCACATGACATACTCAAAAGAGTACATGAAGAACTACCAGAAGATCTCGCCAGTGGATGTGCATTTGGCGGATGATGGCGTGGTACAAGCAGTGGGAAAGGGAGACATCATCATGTCAATGAGGACAAAACACGGCGTCAAGAAATGTGTGCTTACTGGTGTGTGGCACATCCCCAAATTGACGCGCAACCTGTTCTCTGTGGGGTGTTTTACGAAGGACATTGGCCACGTCACATTTGAAAGTGACGGGTGCTTTGCTCAGTCGAAGAGTGTGAAGTGGCAGCTGGGTACGCGCAAGGGAAAGGGCTTATTCAAGTTATGCATGACCCCGCTCATGTCAGATGAAGCAAATGTGTCAAGTTCAACCGGTTTCAATGGGACCAACCGGTCGTACCTCTGGCATCTTCGACTTGGCCATATTGGCCATAACGGTCTAGACTCCATTGTCAAGAAGGGCTACGGCAACGGCATCAACATCACGTCTGTTCAACAGTGGGAGATGTGTCAAGGGTGTGCTCTTGGCAAACAAACTCGAGTGAACTTTATGCCAAAGTCCCCAGAGAGTGCAAAGAAGATGCTAGAAGTCATCCACAGCGATGTCTGTGGTCCTATGCAAACAGCTTCGCTCGGTGGAAGCAGATACTTTGTCACGTTCAATGAAGAGTATTCACACTTTAGTGTGGTGTTCTTGCTTAAGAACAAGTCTGAAGTGGCTTCTAAGTTTGCCGAATTCGTCGTATTTGCAGAGACTCAGACAGGAAACCGCGTCAAGCTACTTCGCAGTGACAACGGCGGAGATTACAAGTCGCATGAGATGACCAAGCTGTGCAGCAGTCGTGGCATTGTACAAAAGTTCACGCCTCCTTACACTCCTCAGCTCAATGGAGTTGCTGAACGGATGAACCGGACGCTTGTTGAATGCGCGCGCTGCATGATGGAGCATGCCGGACTGTCGAAGGAATACTGGGGCGAAGCGGTTGTAACCGCTACATTTCTTCGAAACCGATGTCCAACACGTGCCACAAGTCAAGACAAGTCGCCACATCAAATCTGGACCGGCAAGAAACCGCTGTTTTCAAATCTGAAGGTGTTCGGTTGTCACGCATACGTGACGGTCCCGAAGCAAAAGCGCATCAAGTTTGATGCGCAGTCAGTCTATTGCCGCTTCATAGGATACTCTGAACACGAGAAAGCGTATCGCTTTGAAGAGATCAAGAGCCGTCGTGTTCTAGTGAGTCGCGACGCAAGTTCATGGAAGACGTCTTCGACAGTGGGAGACGCACCAAAAGAGACGCAGAAGATGTCTTTGAAAGTCAAGAAGATGAGAGTACAGGTCATGAATGTCCTTCCGTACCAATTCAGCCTGACGAAGAAGACGCTGCGCAAGACCAAGATACGGAGCCCGGCAGTAAGCGCCACACGCGAACCCCTTCGTTGGAACAAGCTGTGGAGATTCCGGTTCCCAAGCGGCAGAGTCAAAGAATTTTGCTCAAAAACATGTCGGCGGTGGCACAAGTCGAGGACGACTTTGAGACAGCCTACGTTGTGGATTCAGTGGGAGATATGCCGAAAACGTTTAAGTCGGCGATGGAATCCAACAACGCGGTCAAGTGGAAGGAAGCGTGCGACTCCGAAATCGACTCCCTCCGCAAGAACAAGACATGGCAGTTGGTGCAATTACCTAAGGGTCGGAAAACTATCGGATGCAGATGGGTGTTCCGCGTCAGAGAGAATAGCAATTCAGTCAGGTCGCCACAATACCCAGGCTTGAAGTTGACCAAGGCCATGTGCGAAGGAGGTTGCAAGCATGAAGAAACGATGGCAAATTTTCCCTACCAGAACGCCTTAGGATGCCTCATTTACCTTATGGTTGGCACCCGTCCCGACCTTGCAGCTGCAGTGGGATTGCTCATCCAGTTTGCCTCCGATCCGTGTCCAACACACTGGCAAGCACTCAAGAGGGGTTTTCGGTATGTAAATGGTACCAGGACACACGGAATTGAGTTTCAAGCAAGTGAAGACGACATCCTTCAAGTCTACTCGGATGCAGACTGGGCCGGCGACATAGATTCAAGGCGCAGTACAAGTGGATACACCTTCATCATGAACAACAGTTGCATCAGCTGGAGGAGCAAGAAGCAACGAACGGTGGCACTATCATCACGGAAGCAGAGTCCATGGCGCTATCGGAGGCTACACAATAATCAGTTTGGTTGAGGGTGTTCCTGTGCGAACTTGGTGAGATGACAAGTAACCAAGCTGTCAAGATCTCCGAGGATAACCAAGGATCAATTGCATTGGCCAGAATTTCACAAACGCACCAAGCACATCGACATTCGCTACCATTTTGTTCGTGAAAAGGTTGCTGAAGGACAAGTGGTGCTAGAATACTGCCCAACCAAGGACATGAAGGCCGATATAATGACCAAGCCGATCACCATCGTACAGTTCCAGAAACTTCGGACCATGTTGGGCATCAAGTCGCCACGACCTGCCGAGGCGAGTGGGAGTGTTGTAAAAGAGACGTCTCGGAATGATGTGACAGAAATGTGTTCTGTAGCTTAGCCGGTTTGGTATGGCAGTACCATCTCAAAGGTCACTGGTTCGATACCGGTGGGGGCGTACAAACAACAAATTAAGCCTTTGGGATCTGGTGTTTGGGGTTCACCAGCACCGTACTGCCAGACAGTGACGTCCCCATTTTCGGTACGTTTGGGTGTTCAGAAACGCACGACCAGAATTAGAAACGTACGACTAGACGATTAGTAATGCGCGACTAGACGATCAGTAATGCGCGATGTGGCGATTACTAATGCGCGACTATACGATTAGTAATGCGCGATGTAGCGATTAAAGGAACGTATAGTCGAGGAATCTTGTAGGCTTAGAGTAGCAACAGATTTTGAGAACTAAGGACCTAAATAGATTCACTTTGCATTTTACCATCTAGTGCTCGACTGCCTTAGCCTTCAGGTTATGAGACCAAGCCCCGTTTCCTCCAACGAAGACTCCGACTACGTCTTTGCCATGGACGCTGCCGCAACGCCGACCCGCCCGCACCAACAAGTTCCAAGGGACCAACTTCCACACATGGAAGTTCAAGATGCATATGGTCCTGGAAGAGCGCGACCTGTGGGAGGTCACATGTGGAGAAGTCAAGCTGGAGCACTGCACCAACGTGATGGATCAATCGACGTTCAAGAGGAAGTCGCGCAAAGCGCTCGCAATCATCTGTCTCGCAATAGAAGACTCGCAGCTACCATTGGTCCGGTCAGCTAGTGGCGCGCATGATGCATGGTCAAGACTGGAAGGACACTTCGAGAAGAAGAGCCTGGCAAACAAGCTCTTTCTTCGTCGACGCTTCTTCACAACGATGATGGACGAAGGTGATGATGTGCTGGAGCACATCAACAATCTCAAGACTCTGGCGGAGCAGCTCGACGCTGTGGGTGCTCCGATTAGCGAGGACGACTTCGTGATCACGCTTCTTGGTAATCTAAGCGATTCGTACCAGTTTTTGATCACGGCGTTAGAGTCACGTGCGGACACGCTAACGTGGGAGCTGGTGACGTCTCGACTACTGCACGAAGACATGAAGCGCAAGGAACAAGGTGGCGGCGTCGACGGATCCGCGCACGGTCAAGGTCAAGCGTTCATGACAAGCAATCACAGCAAGCGAAAAAGAGGACGGCCTGTGCAGAAGGCCAGTGCATGTCACTACTGTGGCGAGCAAGGACATTGGATTGCCAAGTGTCCAGTGAGGATCCGCGAGAATGCGGAGCGGCAGAGGTCGCAAAAAAGAGCAAGCGTCGCGCAGGTCGAAGATGACACTGGCGAGTTTCTGTTTTCAGTTGATGGAGATAACATCAAGCTGAGTGAAGAGTGGCTGGTCGACTCAGGTGCAACTCAGCACATGACATACTCAAAAGAGTACATGAAGAACTACCAGAAGATCTCGCCAGTGGATGTGCATTTGGCGGATGATGGCGTGGTACAAGCAGTGGGAAAGGGAGACATCATCATGTCAATGAGGACAAAACACGGCGTCAAGAAATGTGTGCTTACTGGTGTGTGGCACATCCCCAAATTGACGCGCAACCTGTTCTCTGTGGGGGTGTTTTACGAAGGACATTGGCCACGTCACATTTGAAAGTGACGGGTGCTTTGCTCAGTCGAAGAGTGTGAAGTGGCAGCTGGGTACGCGCAAGGGAAAGGGCTTATTCAAGTTATGCATGACCCCGCTCATGCTCAGATGAAGCAAATGTGTCAAGTTCAACCGGTTTCAATGGGACCAACCGGTCGTACCTCTGGCATCTTCGACTTGGCCATATTGGCCATAACGGTCTAGACTCCATTGTCAAGAAGGGCTACGGCAACGGCATCAACATCACGTCTGTTCAACAGTGGGAGATGTGTCAAGGGTGTGCTCTTGGCAAACAAACTCGAGTGAACTTTATGCCAAAGTCCCCAGAGAGTGCAAAGAAGATGCTAGAAGTCATCCACAGCGATGTCTGTGGTCCTATGCAAACAGCTTCGCTCGGTGGAAGCAGATACTTTGTCACGTTCAATGACGAGTATTCACACTTTAGTGTGGTGTTCTTTGCTTAAGAACAAGTCTGAAGTGGCTTCTAAGTTTGCCGAATTCGTCGTATTTGCAGAGACTCAGACGAAACCGCGTCAAGCTACTTCGCAGTGACAACGTGGAGATTACAAGTCCTGAGATGACCAAGCTGTGCAGCAGTCGTGGCATTGTACAAAAGTTCACGCCTCCTCCACACCTCAACTCAACGGAGTGGCAGAACGGATGAACAGGACATTGGTGGAATGCGCTCGCTGCATGCTTGATCGCGCGGACTGTCC